TTAACATCCATGTTGACAACCCCCAGGACAGAGGGGCTAAAGAACTATTTTGTGTTCTTGATAGCTATGGACTGACTCAGCATGTGACGGAGCCCACGCACAATAAGGGGCACACTCTGGACTTAATTATCTCAAACGGTGTGAATATCTCTAAGGTTGTGGTGACTGATGTTGCACTCTCTGACCATTCCTGTGTTTTCTTTGAGAGCTCTATTTCTGTTCACAAAAATGTTCAAAAAGAGGTAACCACAAAGCGATATTTAACTGAAAATACTAGGGAAATGTTTACTCAGAATTTTTCTTCCACACTTGCCCCTGCTAACATCTCAGTAAATGAGCTAGTAGATCATTTTAATCCAAAAATTAAAAATGTTATAGATGCCATTGCTCCAACTAAGGTAAAGGAAGTGTCTGGCAAGAAAATATCTCCATGGAGAAAGGCCATGACCGTGAAAACAGAAAAAAGAGAATGTCGAAAAGCTGAACGCAGGTGGCGAAAAACAAATCTCCAGGTTCACTTTGAAATCTATAAAGAGAGACTTGGCCTTTATAATTTGGAATTGAAAAACGCACGACAATCGTTCTTCTCTGACATCATTACCAAAAACAACGCACGTGCCTTGTTTGCTACCGTCGACAGACTAACTAACCCCCCAGTGTCAGTAGCCTCTGAATTTCTATCCACCAGGGCGTGCAATGATTTTGCCTCCTTCTTCACTGACAAAATTCAGAACATCAGACAAGCAGTCAGTGCCTCTGCATCAGGAACAGCAAATGTGTTGTCCCTATCTCCACTTAACATCAATTCAGACATCATGACACAATTCCATCAGATTAATGATAAAAACCTAGAGGACATTATTCAACTTCTGAAATCCTCCTCCTGCTGCCTTGATATTATTCCAACAGGATTTTTCAAAGATGTTTTGCCTTGCATGGCCTCAGATCTACTTCATATAGTAAACAAATCTCTTCACTCAGGTATTTTTCCACAGGCCCTGAAAACTGCAGTCATTAAACCGCTCTTAAAAAAGAATAATCTAGATGCTTCAGTAATGAACAATTACAGGCCCATATCAAACCTGCCATTTCTAGGTAAAATCATTGAAAAAGTTGTTTTTCAACAGTTGAGTAATTTCTTGCATTTAAATAACTGTTTTGATGTGTTCCAGTCAGGCTTTCGTCCAAACCACAGCACTGAGACTGCTCTTGTAAAGGTCTTTAATGACATCCACTTAAACACAGACAGTGGCAGAACTTCAGTGTTAGTATTATTAGATCTCAGTGCTGCGTTTGACACTGTTGACCACAGCATATTACTAGACCGACTGGAAAACTGGGTGGGACTTTCGGAAACAGTTCTGAATTGGTTTGAATCCTACTTAAAGGACAGAAACAACTTTGTTTCTATAGGTAAATACACATCTGAGTTGACAAATATGACATGTGGGGTTCCTCAAGGCTCCATCTTGGGGCCTCTTCTCTTTAACATCTACATGCTACCACTGGCTCAGATAATGAAGAACAACAAAATAAGTTACCATAGCTATGCAGATGACACACAAATTTACGTAACAATTTCACCAGGAGACTATGCTCCAATTCAAACACTGAGTAAGTGCATTGAACAAATCAATGACTGGATGTGTCAGAACTTTCTCCAATTAAACAAAGATAAAACTGAGGTAATGGTTTTTGGAGCCAAGGCAGAACGTATAAAAGTTAGCGCTGAGCTTCAGTCTGCAATGTTCAAAACAACAGATAAAGCCAGAAATCTAAGTGTAGTCATGGACTCTGACCTGAGTTTCAACAGTCACATTAAAACTGTTACTAAATCAGCCTACTATCACCTAAAGAATATATCTAGGATTAAAAGACTAATGTCACAGCAGGATTTGGAAAAACTTGTCCATGCTTTTATCTTCAGTAGACTCGACTACTGCAATGGTGTCTTCACAGGTCTCACTAAAAAATCTATTAGAAAGCTGCAGCTAATTCAGAACGCTGCTGCTCGAGTCCTCACTAACACTAAGAAAGTGGATCACATCACTCCTGTTCTGAAGTCTTTACACTGGCTTCCTGTGTGTCAAAGAATAGATTTCAAAATACTGCTGCTGGTTTATAAAACACTGAATGGTTTAGGCCCAAAATACATTTCTGACCTCCTGCTAAATTATGAACCATCCAGATCTCTCAGGTCTTCAGGGACTGGTCAGCTTTCTGTCCCCAGAGTCAGAACTAAACATGGTAAAGCAGCGTTCAGTTATTATGCTCCAAATATCTGGAACAAACTCCCAGAAACCTGCAGGTCCGCTACAACTCTGACTACTTTTAAATCCAGGCTGAAGACTTTTCTTTTTGTCGCTGCTTTTAATTGAACTATTCATATCTTAGACTGCACTGTAACTTTTATCCATGTATTTTTTCTTTTAATGTTTATTTTATTAGCTTTTCTTTTTAATGACTGATTTTAAATGCCATTTTCTTAATCTCTTTCATTTTTTGTAAAGCACTTTGAATTGCCTTGTGTTGAAAAGTGCTATATAAATAAACTTGCCTTGCCTTGCCTTGCCTTGCCTTGCCTTGCCTTTCCTTGCCTTGCCTTGCCTTGCCTTGCCTTGCCTTGCCTTGCCTTGCCTTGCCTTGCCTTGCCTTGCCTTGCCTTGCCTTGCCTTGCCTTGCCTTGCCTTGCCTTGCCTTGCCTTGCCTTGCCTTGCCTTGCCTTGCCTTGCCTTGCCTTGCCTTGCCTTGCCTTGCCTTGCCTTGCCTTGCCTTGCCTTGCCTTGCCTTGCCTTGCCTTGCCTTGCCTTGCCTTGCCTTGCCTTGCCTTGCCTTGCCTTGCCTTGCCTTGCCTTGCCTTGCCTTGCCTTGCCTTGCCTTGCCTTGCCTTGCCTTGCCTTGCCTTGCCTTGCCTTGCCTTGCCTTGCCTTGCCTTGCCTTGCCTTGCCTTGCCTTGCCTTGCCTTGCCTTGCCTTGCCTTTGCCTTGCCTTGCCTTGCCTTGCCTTGCCTTGCCTTGCCTAAAGACGCACACTTAAATACATACACAAATAAAGGGCAACATAGCAACCACTTTTGAAACATTGTGTGCGTGGCAGCACAAACACTGGTAAATCACGAGCAAGGCACACTGGTTAAGGATGGCAGCTTCCTCATCGTTGCACTCGGAGAGAAATAGTAGAGACGGAGACGATGAACTGTTTAGCCCGCCTTGGGCATGGTTTATGTTCCTATGCACTGCAGGTGCATCCTTTCGCTCAGCCGAGCTAACTTAGAACATTATTTTGACCAACTCTGCATCTTTGTACTGCAGCGTATACTCAAACAGCGATAGGAAGAGCCCACTGCCTGAGTCGGACATGCTGTGGAGTGAATCGAGTCACCTCTGAGAGGGAGTTGGTTGACAGCTAAAAAAGCTATAATATCAACGACAGCTGACACGTAATAACGGCTCCGTGCCAGCTGATCTGCACCAAAGTACTAATTTCCTTATTTGTTTCCTCGCGTATTTCTCTCTCTCTCCTCAAACGCTCACATGAAATGTGTTCTTTTGATGCGGCATGCCTTAGCAGTCCTTTATCAGTCTGTAATGCGTATTTCCAGTCGCAAAAACCTTTGACAGTAAAAGCCGCATCAGATGAAGACGTATTTACTTTAAACTGTCTACAGGGGAAACAAAAGGCTGCGTCTGCTTTTAACGAATCTTCAAGCCATGGTCTGTTGTTGTACCATGCAGCGGCAAAAATGCGCTTCTTTCCTGAAAACAATCTCCCTGGAAAACGATCCAGTTTCACCTGTTGGGTTTATTAACCCCAAGATCATCTGGGGCTGTTGGTCTTTGAGCGGTTGCTGGCCCAATAGTACCTGTTGATGTGCTGCAAGGTAGCGTCTGTAGTGGAGGCACCGGCACAGAGGAGGAGGAGGAGGAGGAGGAGGAGGAGGAGGAGGAGGAGGAGGAGGAGGAGGAGGAGGAGGAGGAGGAGGAGGAGGAGGAGGAGGAGGAGGAGGAGGAGGAGGAGGAGGATGCTGGCGGGTGTGGTACAGGGTGTGGCAACGCAGGTGGTGATGGTATGGGACACAAGGAGCTGTGCCTCGGAGGACAGCGTTGGTGGCGGCCGCCTTGATGAGTCAAGGCTTGGGCTCGCTAACTCAGCCCCGGGGTTTGCCGAGGTCAAGCTTGTGACATTAAGGCGTGCTGCTGCAACGGCAGGTGCAGGGTCGCCAGCAGCACCATCGGCTGCAGCTCTTTCATCGCTATTTCGTTTTTAATAAATCCTTAGACCTTTTGAGACAATTTCTGATGTCCATTTTGTAATTCAAACAGAAATGGGAGTCTACAGAATGCACAATAAACAATAAACAAATCCAGAATAGGCGGCAGAGTGTGACGCTGTGATTGGTCTAAATGTGGACGAATCACAAATCACAACAGACACATGCATTTATTTGACATAGCCTGCGATTTTTTTTTTTGTTACTATCTGACATCACATACATCGTAGCATAACAGTTCACAGTTTATTTATAATTAAAAAAATAAAATATATATATTTTTTAATTTTTATCAAATCAAATCAAGTTTTATTTATATAGCACATTTATAAGCAATTTTTGGTGGAGCCAAAGTGCTGTACATATAATAAAAATAGCCTACAGTAGAGACACTTTACAGCAAATACAACAGCACAGATTGTTCAGAATATCAGTATGAGAAAAACGACACCCTCTGTCCTTAGACCCTCACATCGTACAAGGAAAAACTTCTGGAGAAAACCCACAGTTTAGAGGGAACCAATTATAAATAATAAAAAACTTGTTTATTGGGGGAGGGCAGGAATGTAAAATGGGAGGGCCTGGCCCTCCCACGGCGCCAGGCCCTCCCACGGCGCCAGGCATGGTGAGAGGTCAACGTACCTTTGAGAAAATGGGCATTATTAACCTTATTTTTCCATGTATTTTCTGTATCGACAGCTGACATGTCTGTGCTCTGTGTGCCTGACAGGTCCATGATGTGAAGTTCCAGGCTCAGAATGCAGAGGACAAGGAGGCCTGGATTAAAGCTTTGCTCGATGGCATTAATCGAGCAAAGAACAAAATCTTTGATGAGGTAAAAACTTCTTAAGGCAAGACACTACAGGCAAAAATATGTATTTATTTATTATATGATTATTATATTTATTTTTGTATACAGTGTAGGCTATCTTGCTTCCATACCTTCTTTCAAACATGTAGTGCAAACACACACTAAGTTGTTTGTTGTACTTCACTGTGTCTAATTATGTTTGTAGATTCAACCTGCATTTTACAAATACCTCCCTTGCATATTTAAAGCTCAAAAGGATTCAGTAGTGAATGACTGGGCTTCATGTTTTCACAGGTGACGGTTGATGAAAGCATTAATTTAGAGCACGTTACTCGAACAAGGCCCAAAGGGAACCGTAACCGAAGGCCACCGACCAGGATACACATGAAAGAGGTTTGTGTGTGTGAATGTGAGAATCCATTCATGTGTGTGTGAAATAAGACACTGTGTGGTCAGCTCTGATGCTACCGTAAGTAAGTCCAGATTTGACTCTGTGTTGAGTTTCTTGTTTTTCTTGTGCTTAAATGTGGGGTAGGTAATTCACTTCAGAAACACTTGTTGTTATATTCCATGGAATGCTCTTAACATCCTGAATATGAATGAATACATTAAATGCTTTGACAATAAACACATACAAAAATGTCATCTGTGGAAGCCGTAGTACTGTAAAAAGCACGACCAATCATTTTAGCCGGCAAAGTAACTGGATGGCCTACCTGCCTGTCAGCCTTCCATCTGTGCACAAACTTATCTCTGCCCTCATTGGTCATGTGCGCGTTCGTGTGTGTTGGAGGAGGGGCTCTGTGAGGAAGTCTGAAGGAAGAGGCGCACTCGAGCTTGTTTCTCCATTCTTACCTACTCTACCTTTTAGTGGGTTTCTAATAGTATTTACCGTTTCTCTCTACGTGTATAAAGTATACTACATATTATATTTAGCATATCTTAATATATATATATATATAAGGTCTATTTTTATATTTCCAGTAAAGTTTTATTTTGTCCTGATATGTAAAGTGGGGCACTACAATAAAGTGTCTACTGTGAAGACTTACATCATAAAACATGAAAGGGTCTCAGCTTTCCAATCGTACCCAAGTTAAAGCAATTCCCAAACCCTAACCCAAAATAAAATGCACCGTTTTTAGAATAGGTGAAAACGGCATATGCATGGAAAACATGGAAACAAAAATAACGGCAGAACTTTTACACAAAATTACATGGGATAAGCATAGCCTGTCTGTAATTTGATGTAGGTCTGAAAAATTATGTTTCAATTATTATTATATCCATTGCTTATTAACAGAAATATTGTTATTTGTATGCCCTTTTTAACTCATATTGCCTCTGCTTTGCTCTTTTGTATCTTTCTTATCTGCTGAGAATGGAAGTTGACACAATTATAATGCCTTCTCTTTTATTAGAAACCAGCACTTATTTTGTATAACAGCTTTTATTTTTTTTAATTAAGGTTTATTGTTTTGGTATATCTTTTTAAGTTAAATGTATTTTTGCCTCTATAGGTAGCTGATGTGTCGTCTGATGGTATCCTGCGTTTGGACCTGGATCTTGAGAATGCCTTGATGCCTAATGGCACCCAGCACTCCAGTGTGGATGGCACTCAAACCCCGAGAGAGGCCATCAAAGCCTCGACTCCTCCGTCCAATGCCGGTGAAAATGCAGAGAAAAGGGAGGATCCTGAGGATGAGGCTCAGACTGAGCCGGAGGTCAGTCCCCAGAAAAAGGTCATCAAACCTCCCATGCCCCCTACCAAAGAGGCTAAACCTAACCCAACGCCTGAGGATGAGCCTGATAAGGAGGAAGGCTCAGAGAAAAGGGTATGTTTATTGCTAAATACCCTCATCATACAATACTGTTCATATAAAATAGTCTGTAAATAGAGGTTAAATGTCCCTCATTGGAAAAAGTGCAATTTCATGTCTTTAATAATTATAAAGCAGGTCTAAGTGCAATTTAAAACAAGTCTCAAAATGCTAAATCCACAGAGTAATGCAAAAGCCACCATTTTCAGAAACTGCGCCTTTAAACAAACTTTCAGGACAACTGTAGGATTTTGATGTCAAATCTATACCTAAAGATAGTGACTTTTTAATCCGATGACAATTGCTCGACCTGTTGCATATACCAAAAGGGTTTTCTAGCTTCCTGGATTACTTCCTGGTCATGCAGCCTGCTGAATATGCTCATTAGTGTTTCTTCTAATAGCACTTTCTTTAAGACTAATAAACTCACAGATTTGAAATAGATTTTTCTCTGTTGAAGGAGAGTTTATCAGATATCAAAACGTTGTGTATCAGGATTGTTTCTTAGAAAATATCAATAGAAAGACAAAAAGATCATCATGATCATCGTTGCTGATTTTATGCTGCAATACCGCAAGTGGCCACCGTACAATAGTAGATGAAAGACTATTCTATTAGGGCCGGGACTCGATTAAAAAAATTAATCTAATTAATTAGAGGCTTTGTAATTAATTAATCGAAATTAATCGCATTTTTAATCACATATAAATATTTGACCTAAGAACAGTGAGAAGCAATTTTGTTCACATGGATTTTAGTATACCATTAGGCGCATTCACACCGCAGTACTTTTCCCACAAAGGTTCATGAGAACTTAGTTCATGAGAACTCTTTGAACCTGGGGGTGGATTAGGCAAATGAAGCCGCTGACGTCACTTCTTCTTCTTCTGCTTTGGGTTTACTGGCAGGCCGCAAACCACTTCACGGCGTATACTGCCGCCCAAAGTCCCCGGCCGGAAGTCCCCGGAGTTGGGGACTGGCTTCAGTAGAAGCTGCTGGGAGTCCCAGCAGCTTCTACTGAAGCCTTCCGAGTAAATTGCCAGAACGCCGACACCTCCTCATCTCCACCGCTCCCATGTTTTATTTTGTGTTGCCATAAGTTAGTCTCTCTGCGTTTCTGCGCTGGGCTAATGCTAATAATGCTAATAATGCTAATAATGCTAATGCGAGGATATGGCGACAATCTTCACATCTTTCACAAATCTTTTTGGGAGTTTTACGGGGCGTGGTTTGCAATCCGCCCAGCCAATCAGACATATAGCTCTCTTCTCACAAGAGAGCCGTACGAAAGTCCCTGCTCTCTAGCAGGGACTTTCGTGGGGTGAACTAATTTTAGTACCGGCTCTTTTTGGTGTGAACGCGATAAAAGAGGCTAACGTCCACGCTAGCTGCTATATGTTTTGCATTGAGGTAATACTTGAGGCTTGATGTGCTGCGGTGATATGCGAATTCCTTTTTGCATAATTTGCACACAACCGTGCTCTTATCGACGCTTCCATCCGTCCGTTTTTTAAAACAACATTTCCCACTGTTGTTCACTGTGGTTTGTTGTTGTCTGAAGTCATGAACGTTAGTTGGTGCTCCAGTATAATCGGTACGCCTGAAACTCATCCAGTGAGAAACGTTCCGCGGTGCAAAAATAAGTGCGATTAAAATGCGTTAATTTTTTTAACGCGTTAATTTTTGTGTAATTAATTAATCTTAATTAACGCGTTAAAGTCCCGGCCCTATATTCTATACTACATCAATAAAACACCTAGAATGCAGACACAGAAAGGCCAGAAAGAGAGGGGGCTTAAAGAGACAGCCACTAAAATGTAGTGTTTCAGACAGAGGGTGAACATATAAAACCCACAAAATAAAAGTATATTATTTGTCCCCTTTAATGTCTTTTAGGTCCTGAAGCCACCCATGCCTCCATCTAAAGAAGCCAAGCCCACAGCCTCACCTGAAGACACAGAGAAAGCTGAGCAGATGTCTGAAAAGACTCCTGATGCCAGGAAGAAGACAGTTCCACCACCAACCCCTCCCAACAAACCCGGCTCCTGCAGCTCCATTAGCATCCTAGCAGAGGCCTCACAGACCCACCCTCCTACCCCTCCATCAAAAGAGAAGAAACCTTCTGTAGAGCCAGACCAAGAGGTGGAAGGCACAACAGATGAGGATGAGGAAAATGAAGAAAGTGATAAGAAGGAGGCGACAGGAAGAGCTGTGGAAACTGACCTCCCCATTTCTAAAGAAGCTCCACCTAAACCTGGGAGTCCCAGCGCAGACGGGCAGGTATTTGAAGAAGAATCAGGGGAGACAATAAGTAATGGCATTAAAGTATCTGAAAATGACCCACAAATTCCCAAAGAGCAACTCAGAATGAATTCCAGCCCTCCTCCTACACCCAAGAAGAAGCCTGCTCAGCCCAACTCACAACAGGCAGACGACAAGACAACTGTAACCCAGGCAAAAGAGGGACAGGACCCTGCTGCTTCACTGCAAACAGATACCGCTGCCAGTTCACCTGCAGCAGTAGAGGCTCCACCCAAGATTGAGGTCCCTTCAGTCGTCGTCTCTTTGAATACTCCGCTCTCTGACGGCCTCAGCCTGAGTCCGCTGCTCTGTCACCTGCCTGGGGAGAAGAAGAAGAAGGCGGAGGAGAAGTCTGTGGACAGCGGTCAGCACTCTGACGATGACAGCGAAGGCTCTGGCAACGAAGAAACACTGGCAGCTTCCACCGCCGCGTTGAGAGGAAGCAACCCTGGGCTGGATGTGTTGGACGCCAGCGAGGACGAGATTCAGGTTCCCGTCACTTTGAAGCCAACAAAAGCACCACCCAAGCCTCAGGTCAAACCTAAGTTCTTTCCCTGTCGGCACTCCGAGCCCCCTCCTCCGTCTCTTTCACCCTCGACCAAGGCCAGGTCCGCCTCCATTGGAGATCTGCTGTCTGACTCGTCAGTCTGTGTTCAGGCACACACAGCTGTGGCTCGAGGCAACACGGCTCCTGGTGATGATTTCATGAAACTTGAGACTGAAGTGGCGCTGGAGATGGAAAAGACGCAGCAGCTCCTGAGCAGAGTGTCCAAGGCTAAGGGTGGAGCAGACGGGGATGGAGTGCCAGAGGATCTTCTGGCCAAGGCCATGGAGAAGCTGAAGAAGGCTGACCACGTCCTGAGAGAGGTCCATAAACTGAAAGTTGCAAAGGACTCAAGAAACAGGAACAGCTGGTAAATGTCAGCCAGAGCAGGTTGACTGGGACCTTTTTCGAATCGACCATTCGCTAATCCTCTCTTCTGAACAGTGGGTGTTCAATCATAGTTTAGCAATCTGCAATAGGCACGGCAAGCCTGTTAAGCTTTGGATTTCTACACAAACGGTACGGTTTGCAAGGGGCTGAAGTAAAAAGAAATATTGGATATAAAAAGTTTTTTTCTTTTCCTTTCCAAAACTGAAAACGTGAGCGGAAATGTAAGGAATAGATAACATGGTGTATTTGCCCGCTTTAATGTAAGCTGCAATTATTGGCCTTTTTGTGTCTCAATTTGGATACTTCTGTAAACACTTTGACTGTGTATACTGTATGCATTGTGCATGAATCTTGGGAAACTTTTCCAAAAGCTCTTAAGAGACTCGCTACCTTCCATTCTTGTTCAATGCTTAACCGCGTTCAGAGATTTTTGCCAAGCAAGGATTTCAATCTAGGCACGTCCATCTTTTGGTCCTTATGAGCACTCAATCCAGGTACTAATAGTGCACTGCGTTTGACCATAGTTGTTAGTGTGAACGCTCTCAAATGAAGAATTGTAGACACAACAGATGCGTGGCTAACTAGCTTACGCTGCTACTACTGTACCTATAGTCGCAAATGAGCATTACTTCCAAGGTCTTTCAAGTAGCTTAGCATAACTAGCTCCCTTAGTTTGTGAGTTAAAAAAGCAAGCTCAGTTTACATCTAGCACATCCACTTTTTACTGTTATCCCTGTCTTGGATGCTATTAGAGGTTAGCTAACCGTTAGCGGCTCTGTTTTAGGAATGTTGCTCTCTTGCGACCCAAGCCAACAAGCTATGGTTTCGTTTGACAAAGCCTTGTTCCTTGTAATGTAAAAAACATCCATGCTGTGTTTTTGATCAACTTTTTGAGCTAGTAGTAGGGTGTTCAGCTAGCTGATCAAATCTGTGACAGTGTCATTTCAGCGGGCAAAATCAACATTTGTTGGCAATTAAATGCGAAGGTGCTTTTGTCGTAATCTGAGTTAGGGTTTAGCGAACAGTCAATTGATTGACTTTCATTTTGCAGCAGCACATGCAACTCTTCGCTCATAATTAACTATGTGCAATTATTTCTAGTTTAACTCTCTCTGCAGCTGCAGGTAATGCTTAACATTCTACTGTGTATTTTTGTTGTTGTATATGAAATATCAAATACAATTTTCAAGAACAATTACTTGAAAGTTAATCAGATAATTAATAATATAATAACAAAACAGTACTTTCATTGAAAAGAACATGGAAGAAAAGTACTAAAAAAGTGTTAATAATAATCAGGGGTGGTTCTAGGGGGGGCAGGGGGGGCCAGTGCCACCCTAACACTGACTTTGTACCCCCCTGTGGCCCCCCTGAAAATGAAAAAAAAAAAAAGGTTTATGATTAAACGATTTCTTGGCTGACGGAATAGGCGTAACTAACGCTATTTGTCTTTCTAGTCAGACCCATTAGAGCAGGGGTGTCCAACACGTCGATCGCGAGCTACCGGTAGCTCGCAAGCCCTCAATAAGTAGCTCGCCAAGCAAATCCAAAAAGTAAAAAATACACACAAAAAAAAGGAAATGTAATCAAAAGAATCTACCCTATGCATAAACGAGACCGCAATCTTTGCGAACTCTATCTACTTACTACAACTCTATATCTATCTAACACCCCTCCTCCCCCCACCCCCCACAATGGATATTGACCAATCACGTTCTTGCAACAGTTTAAAAGGGGAGTGATTAGTAAAATATGCATAAATAAAAAGAAAGAATGCTAATTAGGTAAGATAAGATAAGAATAAACAAGTTTAAATGATTTGTTATTGGTTGTGATCATATTCTAAAGATGTATGGAGTATTGAAAAGTATACAGCTCCCTTTCATATGAGTGTTGAGAGCTGTATCCATAAATTCATTTTGTGCTCAAAGTGCTCCAGATTGATGCATTTTACTTCAACATTTTAAAAAAATATTTCCCGGGGGTGCATGACCCCGGACCCCCCTAGAGGATGTGAGGTCCAGCCCAAAATAAAGCAGGTTCAAATAATTAAATTGCATACATTTTCTTTAAGTAAACACTGAAAACGGGTCCCACATGACCCAAACAGCACACAAAGTATTATGTTAAAATGTGCTAAATATATACACTGCAAAAAACAATTACTTCATACTGTCTTTGTCTTTTTCGTCCCGCATTTATTGTGCCTAGGGATGCATATCGTTGACTTTTTTACGATACCGATACCACTGAACGATACCGATACTCAACGATACATATCGTGATACTTTGAAAATGTATCATCCCACAATTACTCCCATGAAGCGCTTTACGATATAGTTAACATGTCAAATGAATATTACATTTAATTGTGGGACTTCTTGGACCTTTTAGTACTGAACAAACAATGAAAAATACATAAAAAATATGAAGAAAAACGATTATGGAATATCTTATATAACACCCGCCATCAGGTGTGCCGCATGAATAGCACATATTGTCAATGCAAACAGACCGTTATAATTAATGTTAAACCTGAGATTCGACTAGAGAACAAATAAATAATAGAACTATGTGAGATCTCGGCATTGCACAAACAAACAAATCTCATCTTTAAAATCAACATTTGCGAGAAAAGTTTGAGAGAAAACAAATCCCATCACAGTTCATTTGTGGGACTTTTACCTTTCTAGTATTGAACAAACAATGAAAAATACATAAAATATGAAGAAAAACGATTTCTTTTTTTTAAGTATCGAAACCGGATCTGATTTCGGTACGGCATACCGTAGCCACCAGTAACCGGTATTTCGGTAATACCGGATACCGGTATGCATCCCTAATTGTGCCCCCCTCAGAAAATAACTGGCCCCAGCCTGGCCCCCCCCAGTCAAATTGGTCTAGAACCGCCATAATCAATTACAGTGTATTCTTTGTGGAATCAAGAGGCTTTCACTCCTTTCTTCAGATATTTTTGTTGGCAGTTTTGATGATGGAATATATATTGTACATACGTTATACTCCATAAAGCATGCTGTATTGTTGATGAGGAAAGATGTATTCCTCAAGAGGAATGAGATGCTCAGGAGTTTTCTGAAAGTCCACTTTTCAGACTTATCATGGGATTGAAGCAAAAGGAACAACTGATACTCAACATAGAAGGATTCCAGTTTGTTTTTATACTGATATTGTACATAGCACAGAACAAAGAGCTTGAAGCAGCACTTTTGGCTCATACTAACCCTTTTACAGTTTAATTTGACATTCAGATGTGATTGTATGAGTGGAATGTACTCTGTGATGTTCCACGCAAATTTGCGAGGATGTTTTCTAACATTAGATATCATTTTGTACTCTTTGATAAAAGTTGCTTTGGCCCAAATAAAAAAGGGAAATTATCTGTTTATGTTGTGTGCTTTTTAATTCAGTTGTAGCTCTAGAAAGCATAATAAATATGTATTAAAGAAATGTAAAAAATATATTTTCCTTTGGAAAAAACCCTGCTAAAGGTTTCCAATGTAATGCTATTCAGTTTAATAAAAAACGTTTTGAAATAGTACTGTATTAGTTAACATTGTTTGCAACAATGCAGGTAAATGCGTAAGAAGTCAACTAAATACATGTAAAATACGTAGAATAGGATCAGCTGAAAACAGAATGTCAAAGGAATTTCTGTACAATGATAAAACACTGCTTATGGTAATAATATCGGTAATACATAATTACATATGTGAAATCCACTTCCATACTCGGATGTTAAAACCATACAGTCTATGGTTAAAACATTAAAACAATTATTTGTCGTTTAACTCTTCTCTATTTGGCTTGACAGAAGTTACTCGTTTTATTTTGAATGTTTTGGCCGGAAGTCATATTTTCACAGTTTTACCGAGTGTTGCTTGACAGAAGTAACTGAATACTCAATACTCTAATTTCCCCTCCCAGACTCCTATCCTCGAGACTTAGTCCCGCCCACAGGACATGCGAGCGGAGGACTGAGGAGGGGAACTGAGGAGAGAGGAGGGGAAATTAGAGTATTGAGAAACCTCTACTGGGTCCAGCCTCCTCTCTGCTGGTAAAGATACTACAGCTGTACAATGAGAGGAGGGGTGATAGCCCAGAGTCATAGGAGGTGTCTTTAAAACAGCTCAAAGATGGAGGACGACCTGGTGTCGGAGGATGATATCTGTGAGTATGACACATGAAGGAGCAGCGGGGTTCTGAGGCGGGAGCGAGCTGTCATCTGTCGGCAGCAGGATGTCGGTGTGGAGCAGAGCAGGCAGAGAGCTTACTACACTGTGTTTTACACCATACATTATTTAGTTAAACATTACGGTGGACGCTAAATTTAACTTTGTAGCCGATAAAACTGTATGACACATTTTAACCACATGTTCTGTTACCTTCATAGCCTACAGTCCCGTTGTCTAACTTAATATCTCAACAATCTCATGATATGTTCTTCCTGTAATACTAGTGTATTAGCCTACAGCGGGCCCGGTGTGCGAGATTAAATGTTTTTTTTAATTAACTGGTTTACAGCAGGCAGATGTAGGGCGTACGAAATACACATTTCGATCGCTTCTTCTCTCGTTTACATACATATTTTTGATATATTTGGCTCGATAGGAACACTTTGATGCACATTCAGTACGTGAGGTTGTGGTTACGATGGCGATATCCGGACGCGTACAGCGAGCCGAGGACTATAAAAAGACAAACGAGGTGACTGTGGGACCCTGCTGAAAAAAGAGCATATACCAGAAGAACCAGCATATGTTGTGTTTTGGTCACTTATGTATGCTGGTATGCTGTTCACCAGCATAGACCAATAAGTGACCAAAACACAACATATGCTGGTCTATGCTGGTTTTTCAGCAGGGTTGCAGGATGATAAACTAGGATATCTGATCTCGGTGGGTCTTAATGAGGCTTGATACAGACCTCAGTCACTATTACTAAGCAAATGCCTACTATAATATATGTATATGATATGGCTTAAAGTTTAGGCTACATACATTCGCTCACATTATAAATGATGGTCGGGTTGCATTTTTATGGAACTTTTTAACAATGTTAATGTAGCAAATTCAGCTGTGGTGATCTAATAGGCCTACGTCGTATTCAGGGAAGTGCACAGGTACGGGCTAATGTTGCCCGGGCAACGGCCCGTTTGGCCTTTTTGGCTGACCTGCCCCTCTGGAGAGAGCGAGAGTTTGTTTTTCTTTTTTCTGTTGTGACCGAATCAACATGATGAGCCCACAATTAGTATTGTAGCGTCTCGCTGCGGGAAACACACTTTGTCAGCGCTGTCATCTGCCGGTGCGTTAAGACCACCTCAGTGTCGGATTTTGGAAACTTGATTTTGAGTTGTCTCATGGCAGTTAGGGTATAAGGGACCAACCAGGGGACTTTACTTCCTCTTGATGCGGTCGGTTATTTACAAAAAAACACCTAAATATAGCCTACTTGTTGTTGTTGTGCTTCTGTCTTTCTGTGTTTTTCATCTGTAAACTCCCTCAACGGGGCCGCTCGCTCTCTTTTCTTGATCGCCCTCTCACGGGAGACCACTTCAATGTCCTGCTTCATTGTAGGATTTCTGCCATGTCTCTACCACATTAGTTTGACCATCTCTGTTACTAAGTTATGGAATACTAAATAAATAAGCAATTAGATACCTTACGTTACTGGCTGCGCTCATAAATAATGATAAGAATAATGCATATTGAACTGGTTTAATTAATTAGTGAGTTTATTTAAGGTAATTAGTTAGATGCCCTATTTTATCAGTATGTCTGGACTGCACAGCAGTTACAATGGTCAAACTACATTAGATAGACCCTCCAGAAAAACGCGATTCTGCGATCGCAGAATTTACCGCATAATCAGCAAAATGGCGATTTTTAAAAGGCCGCATATTTATCAAAAGGCCGCATAATCCCCGCATTTTTCCACACAAAGTTGAGGAAAGTTAACTCGTCTTGACGTGATGATGATGATGATGACGCGACGTCATCAGCTCGCGCATCACAGAAGGTAAACAACACCGTAGAGTGAACGTGTGGAGCTCACACGAGAGAGAAAACACCAAGATGAACAAATCTAATCCATCCACCAAACAACTCCCGTTCACTGAGGCATCAACCTCCAAAACCCTTTCGAGGGCTACAAGGAACGAGGTGAGAAGCCTACAAGATTGAAGCTGGTCAGATAACGTGTGTGTGTGTGTGTGTGTGTGTGTGTGTGTGTGTGTGTGTGTGTGTGTGTGTGTGTGTGTGTGTGTGTGTGTGTGTGTGTGTGTGTGTGTGTGTGTGTGTGTGTGTGTGTGTGTGTGTGTGTGTGTGTGTGTGTGTGTGTGTGTGTGTGTGTGTGTGTGTGTGTGTGTGTGTGTGTGTGTGTGTGTGTGTGTGTGTGTGTGTGTGTGTGTGTGTGTGTGTGTGTGTGTGTGTGTGTGTGTGTGTGTGTGTGTGTGTGTGTGTGTGTGTGTGTGTGTGTGTGTGTGTGTGTGTGTGTGTGTGTGTGTGTGTGTGTGTGTGTGTGGTGTGTGTGTGTGTGTGTGTGTGTGTGTGTGTGTGTGTGTGTGTGTGTGTGTGTGTGTGTGTGTGTGTGTGTGTGTGTGTGTGTGTGTGTGACCGCAAAACAAAAAAATGTCCCCGGTTTTCATTTTTAAAATCAAGTTACCGAATCCAAGTAGTCGCCTTAGCTTATTTTGTTATGAGATGTGAATTACTGTTCAATTTAGTTGATGTAATAATCGTTTGGTTTCTTTTACATTAAAAACAAGTTACAATTTTCAAAAGGTCTTTTTTTATCGGGGGGGAGGCCCTTTTTCCAGTTTAGAGCCCCTCGAAATGTCTGTGCACGTCCCTGGTCGTATTGATCCGCGGCACACTCATAATGGCAGGGCTCGAGTGATTTTTGCTGTTGGGACTCGGGTTTGAGTGCAGCATGAACTTTTTTGTTATTTTCATGTCGACACTGAATATTATGTTTGAATAGAGAATTCCTAATGGTGTTTCCCCAGTGTTTGTTTGTATTGTTGGTATGCTGATCTATGCTGGTCTATGCTAGTGTATGCTGGTAACCAGCATAGACCAGCATACAAGTGACCAAAACACAACATATATGCTGGTTTTGCTGGTCAACTATGCTGGTCTATGCTGGTAAACACCATGCTGGTCTATGCTGGTTTTTTCGGCAGGGCAAGCAGCATTTTAAAGTCTAAATATCCCTGCACATGCAGCAATGACATTTCTGCTGCTATCTTTGCAAAACGAGTTAAGACTCAGTCACATCTTATCTGGATGAGTGCTGCAGAATACCGTTTTTATAAGGGATACATGTGTGTGTAGACGTTCATATTAAACATGATCGCTGGCAGATAGCCACAGAGGTCGTAACACAGTTTACCCCGGGCGGATCGCAGTTTACCCCGGGCGGATCGCAGTTTACCCCGGGCGGATCGCAGTTTACCCCGAGCGGATCGCAGTTTACCCCGGGCGGATCGCAGTTTACCCCGAGCGGATCGCAGTTTACCCCGAGCGGATCGCAGTTTACCCCGGGCGGATCGCAGTTTACCCCGAGCGGATCGCAGTTTACCCCGGGCGGATCGCAGTTTACCCCGGGCGGGATCGCAGTTTACCCCCGAGCGGATCGCAGTTTACCCCGAGCGGATCGCAGTTTACCCCGGGCGGATCGCAGTTTACCCCGAGCGGATCGCAGTTTTACCCCGGGCGGATCGCAGTTTACCCCGGCGGATCGCAGTTTACCCCGGGCGGATCGCAGTTTACCCCGGGCGGATCGCAGTTTACCCCGGGCGGATCGCAGTTTACCCCGGGCGGATCGCAGTTTACCCCGGGCGGATCGCAGTTTACCCCGGGCGGATCGCAGTTTACCCCGGGCGGATCGCAGTTTACCCCCGGGCGGATCGCAGTTTACCCCGGGCGGATCGCAGTTTACCCCGGGCGGATCGCAGTTTACCCCGGGCGGATCGCAGTTTACCCCGGGCGGATCGCAGTTTACCCCGGGCGGATCGCAGTTTACCCCGAGCGGATCGCAGTTTACCCCGAGCGGATCGCAGTTTACCCCGGGCGGATCGCAGTTTACCCCGGGCGGATCGCAGTTTACCCCGGGCGGATCGCAGTTTACCCCGGGCGGATCGCAGTTTACCCCGGGCGGATCGCAGTTTACCACGCTGCTTTCAAACTGTGAGTAAACAACGCACGCTTCACTTGGAGGCTGTCTGAAGGTGTACACAGGTCTCAGATGCATGGCCGTATCTACCATTGAGGTCACGAGGTCCGGACCTCGGTAATATTTTCCGAGCTGTGTATAACAAAACTTGTGAAATAATTACACTAAACGGGGTTCTTTGTAGTACTTCCATTTACTGACCATGGGGGCGCTGCATAACTACGTAGCCTCGATTAAAGCAAACAGAAGAAGACGACATGTATCAACAAATCACCGCAGCCCGGACTTGTACCGGAGCAGCGGAGGAGTGATGAGGTATCTAGAGATCTGAGTCCAGCGGGCTACTTGTGTTTCTGTTCATCAGGACATCATATGAGCAGCAGATCCTGTGTGAACGCTCTACGTTAGTCAGTGGACGTCCGACAACATGCACACTAACTTATATTGCAGATATAGGCTATACTTTGGTTTAAATTGCGTGAATAAACTAGCTAGAGAGCTAAAATTAATTACATTCATCCAATGTCAGAAGGATTACCTTTTAACAAACGTTGTAATGCTTTTCTTTTATTTCAATTTGAGTAACACATTGAAGATATAACATTGTGTTGTTTTATTTTTACACTGACTCAGATATAATGAAAAGACTACGTCAGTCGAAGCTCAGCTTTGGTGAGAGAGAGACAGGACAGGCAGAGAAATAGAGAGAGAGAAAGTGATGGAAGTCAGGGAGGAACTGCAGGTATAGTCACACAAAAATAATGTAGGCTTAACAACCCCATATCTATCTATTTATCTATAACAATAGTCTTCATTTACAATAGGCATAATTTTAAAACATACATCTATTGCCGTTATGATGTCATAATAACATACAATTGTATAAAACACAATTTGCTTACATCTTTGTTCTCTTTTGAGAATCAAACAAAACAGATTTAAATAAAAAAAGAATGCAAACAAACAAGTGAAATGAACTAAATTGCTGAATTGCTTTTAATTCACTGGCAGGAGCGACAAGTGAGGAGGAGCAAAAAGTGAACAACGAGGGAGAGATTGAACAAATAGAAAGCGTAGAGGACAGAGAGAGTAATGAACAGGAAGAAGACAGAGAGACTCAAGAAGATGGAAGAGAGGCTGTAGGTTATGGAAAGGAGAGAGACATGGAAAATGAATGTTGACCAGTGGCGAGCCGTCAGGGCCCTCTGTGAGGGCCTAAGATATTCTACAAAATAATATTTAAAAACATTAAAACAAATTATATATTTTTTAATATATTTTTTTAGTTATATTTTTCATTAGTTTTACCAAAATAACTTGATTTAATTGTAATTAAAATAACATTTCCAAAGAAATAAATTCTTTCGAATCTGCCTATTCAGTTTATGTTGGAATGTGAAGAGTTAAATGAAAGAAGCTCATCTCTGCAAGTTACTGTGAAGAGAGGAGCTGTTGGACGTCCAGGCGGTCCAGCTATGAATTCACAGAGGGCCCCGCTATAGTAACTGAACGAGAGAGTAATGTCAAATGACAGTACAATTGACCAATCATATCTTCCCGCTAAATGGGTGGGTGTTATTATCACGGACTTTATGACAAGTTCCGCCCGCTATGAAACGTTTCTTGTTTCCATAGCAACAACAACTTCCTGTCAACAGCGTTAACTCGCCTTCAAAATAAAAGCATGCCAAATTACACTTAAGACATACAACTGCAACGAAAGTAACAAACACAATGCAATATCCTTTTCAATTTCAAAGAACACAAATAGGGTTATTTACAGGTGTTGTTTTGTGTGGTAGAGGGTCGCTTTCATTGATGCGTTTTGCACCCCGGGCCGTTGTTTTGATATTCCGCTGAAGTATACGCTGTGACGTAATAACTCGAGGGAAGGGGTGGGGGTCAGAGGGCCTAGGTATAAAAGTCACGGCTCGCCACTGATGTTGACAATGTTTTGTGATCATTTTAGCCTCTTCTGCATGTCCAGATCATTAATAGTAACAATCAACTGATTCTTATTATGTATTACACTTTCAAAATAATTGATGCTGACATTGTCAGCCCACTGACATGGTTTGAAATCGATATATTATCCAATTTGTGACCCCCCATAGGACTTAAAAAGCACCATAACTAGATCATGAAAATCCCAAAAATCTCGGGGGGTATCCCCCAAACCCCCCTAGCATGTTTGGACCTCGGTATTTAGGAAATCCTGGATACGGCCCTGCTCAGATGGACTTGGTATCACATTAAGAACGATATTCAGTAAGTCTGGCAACAATAGCTGGTTTAAATGATTTATTCAAGCGTGCAATGTTTTGAACAGACATCTCCAGCCACCTCGTTTGTCTTTTTGTAGTCCTCGCTGTTCGCGTCTGGATATCGCCATCATAACCACAACCTCACACACTGGTACTGAATGTGCATCAAAGTCTTCCTACCGAGCCAAATATACCAAAAGATTTATGTAAACGACAGAAGAAGCGATCGAAATGTGTATTTCAGTCGAAGGCCACGCCCCCGACACATCTGCCTATAAACCAGTTGATTTAAAAAAACAGTTAATCTCGAACACCGGCGCCACGAGGGGGCAAAAGGGGGCATTGCCCGCTCAGTTGTATCAGCCCTCACTTTGAGCATTATTCATCCATCAAAAAGTACAATAAATGTCACAATAATTAAATAACTTTAAATAATTATTTTCCCCAATACACGTTGTTATACACTATGTTTAGATCAAATATGTGGGCAGGCAGTCAAGCAACGTGTAAAAAAGCCTCAACCCCAAGTGAGCTTGTAGTCTTAATTAATGTTGGCGTGTGTGCTTAGCTGTAAACACAGTTATTCGATCACTGGGCTGTAAGTCGACAATTTGTTTAGTTGAGGACAACCATAGTCTTTATATCTTAGAATAATGATCATTGGCTTGTCATAGACTAATATTGTTTTATGTGTGTGTGTGTGTGTATGAACACTGCGTGGAGGGTTTTGGGAAGTCATCCACTGGATTTATAGTGTTAAATTCAACAGTGTGTCTATATATATATATATATATATATATATATACACAGCACAATGGTTCAGCATGCAGCAGGGGGGTACTGTCTGTGAACATCATCCAGATCCAGTGCTCCTTGACAGTATATGGTATAGTATTAAAGCATCAGAAATCACCCTATGTTGTTGCTTTTCGCTGCCCTGAAGCACCCCCTGATATCCCTCCTTCCTTATCTCTCATTGCTGACAGTGCTGTGTTCAGAGAAGGAGTTCCATGATGCTGCACGGAGGAACAACACAGGGAAAATGCAGGAACTCATCAAGAAGGGCGTTAACGTCAAGGCCAAAAACAAAGTAAGTCTGCTGAAGGAAAGCACTTTATGTGGTTTCATGCCTTACTTATAAAATAACATTTAAATAAAATACTGTAGTTAGGCAAAAGTACTTAGAAGTTCTCATTCTGCACCTCCCACTTAAGAATAATATTTATTAGGCTATATTATTGGATTGTAATTATTGATAAATGAATATTATATATAGACTATATATACAAGAGCTGTAAAATAAATATGTATATCATTTTTATATCTGAGATGTAGTGTAGTAAAAGTATAAAGTCAAATGCAAATATTCGGGTGAATGACAAGTAGTGCCAAAGAGTAGTACTTTAAATGTAGTTAGTCAAAACCACTAACTACCACTAGTTAGTGATTTTAGTGGTTACTTACCACCTTACTAAGGTGGTAAGTAGAATTTCATTGCATTTTTTAACAGTATTTTAGTTTGTTTGTTGGATGCAGGAGTTCTCTGCCATGTTTCTCCATAGATATACTGTATATATATATATCTCTGTATTGACAGATTGACCGTAAGGCCCTGCACTGGGCAGCCGGAGCGGGGAGCGAACAGGCTCTGCGGATGCTTCTGGAACACGACACTGAAGTGAACGAGAGGGACTCGGTGTGTGAATACGGCTGTAATGACATCCTAATGACAATTTACACTGAATTCATTCCCTAGCATAAAAAATAACAATATATCCCCGAAGAATGATTGCCGTTTTAGTTTGTTAATAAAAGTTTTTACATAAGAAAAAATTGAAAAAGATGTGTGTGTACAGAAATACAAAACCATATGTTAATCATCTTAAGATTCTCTGTAATGCCTTTACTCCCTTGTCATTCTAACAGAACATTTTCAATGACAATAGTGCCAAAACTATATACAACATGTATTGAAATTAATTGATTATTTGAGCTTATACATGATTTGCTGCTTCTTTACCATTTTCACCCAAAAAATGTATGTCTTATTACACACAAAGGAATTGAATAGATGGAAATAATGAGTTATTTAGGAACAGCCACATCAATCCTGTAGCAAATGGGACAGTGTGAGACGCCAGTTGCTGTGTTTTCTCAGTAGAACCCAAAAACACAGAGCAGCAAACAACTACAAAACTAAATTATGTTCACACTTTATTTAAACTCACATACTTTTTCCACATAGTAAAGGGTTATGAGCATGTGCAAATGGATGCAAAATAAGAATGTGGGAACTCCACTTTTGACATGTTCAGGGCACTTACTCATTAATAAACCTTTCTAATACAAGGCAACAAATCCACCACACATTAAGACAGAGACAGACCATGACCAGAAGAGAGTATACTAGTTTCTACACCTGTACTATCAGAGCTCTGCTGACAGTTCTGAATGTGTTTCCATAGTTTGGCATGACCGCTCTGCTCCTGGCCTCCTGGTTTGGTCATCTTAAAGTCCTGCAGATCCTGGTGTCCTGTGGAGCAAAGCTCAACAGTGAGAACAAAGTGAGAGCTGCTTCATTTCATCAACTCCACACCAGAACTATGAGATGTGATATCTATCCGTCTATATCTGTGTGTTAGGATGGTCTCAGTATGCTGCACTGTGCTGCCCAGCGAGGCCACATCAAAGTGTTGGAGTTCATCATGGAGGACCTGGAGGACATCCGGCTGGACCGAGTTGACAAGGTGACTCCTCCTAACCTGACGCAATTTTAAAGAGGCCCTATTCTGCTTTGGGGTGTTCCCTCTCCTGTAGTGTGTTCTATATGTTTTGGTGCATGTAAATGGTTTGTAAAGGTTAAATCCCTGTGCTCCATCACTATATAACACTTGCGCTTCTATAAGCTAGCGCTCCAACGCATTGCATGTGATACGCTAAGGGCCGGGACGTCTCCAAGCGGTTGACCAATCACAACAGAACAAACCAGCTAATCAATCAGCAGACTAGGCTCTCTGATTTTCTGAAACAGGAAATATTAAATGTCTCCGTCCCATCTTTCTTTCCATTTACTATGACTAATAGTTTGTTGTCAGAATATCAGCAACAAATGAAGGTGAGTGGAACATAACCCTTATATTTAAAAGGGACCTATCATGCCAAATGCACTTTTGTACGTCTTTTATACATGAATATGTGTCCCCGGTGTGTCAGGGAACTCACCAAGTGTCATAAAACACAACCCTCTCTCTTTTCCTCCATACCCAAATCTCTAAAAACGGGGCTGCAACGGAGCTGATACAGACTGATCCAGATTTGAAAATAGTGTGACGTCAGTGACGAGTAGCTCCGCCAATATGGCCAATTCTCCACCAATCAGGGGATTGAGAGGTTGCTGTGGCATGGTAACAGCATGGTAACATGATGCTCGTAACTCGGCCCCCTCCTTTGCAGGGGGGCGTGGTCAGCTGCAGCGCATGCAAAGACAGGGTGGAGAAGAGGAAAATGGAGAGAAATGAGGCATGGCAAAAATGCATGATCTGTTTGATATTTTGAAAAAGAAAACGTATAAATATACCTTATATAGGTATGGCCCTACAATATATTATTCAAATATAGCATGATAGGTCTCCTTTAAACACTGTGTGTATACACTATATGTGTTTATAATGTCTGTCTCTCATCAGTCAGGGAAGACTGCGCTTCACCTGGCAGCTGAACATGGACAATTTGAGGTGGTAGAGTTTCTGATTGGAATGGGCTGCACACATGGTCTGAAGGACAAGGTATAGTAACACACACACGCACGCATCAAGTCAGTAATTATACCAAGCCTGCCACCATAACTACTTTTGTTACGATTTCATTGTCCCATAAGTAATTACGATATTATTATATATATTATTGTCATTTTTAAACTATTTAATGCAAATGTTATAATGATCAAATAAAAGCATAGTAATGCAATGTCCCCTTTACAGAGAGCAGCACAGACATTGAAATTGGGATTTCAAAAACATATTGAAGTATCCAAAATAGTAAATAAAACATGAATAAAATGAGTCCACACAACCAAACGGTAAATTAAATGGCTCTCGGTATATGTCAGGGAAAACACTGCTGTTAATGTAAGTGCAATAGAGATGCACAAAAACAATCTTGGTCATGTCCATATTTGATGGAAAAGTGGAGAAGGTAATTTATTTTTTGTCTAATTGTACTTAAGCAAAGGCTAACACTGTTCAATCGTTAAGAGATCCAATATTTATTTGTTGGGTTTCCAAAACCGCACCTCAGCTAATCTAAAGTGAGCTGGAGTGCATCCATCATTCATGATTTAAAGGCTTCTTTAAACAAACCGCATACAGCAGGATGTGTTCTGACGTCATATCCTGTGTATACTGCCAGCTTCATGTTTGCTCCAGCAGCTTTAAGTATCCCAATGCCAGTCTTCACTGAGGAGCTGAGACATTTTTATCTAATGTCTAATTTATGTAGCCAATATTTATAAAAGAAGTCATGCTACTTTTTACTGTGATATCATGAAAAGTGTCTTTCAAAATAAAATGTAAAAGGCCCTATTCTGCTTTTCAGGGTTTCCCTTTCCTCTAGTGTGTTACGTTTTTTCTGTGCATGTAAATAGTCTGCAAAGGCCTGAAAGCCTCCATAGGACTCCTTTGTTTACTTCAGGTACATAGTAACACTCACCGTTCTAATTGCTAGCACATGGTACGTGATAGGCTAAGGGACGGGACATCTCTAAGCAGTTGACCAATCACAACAGAGAACAGTTTCTCAGAATAAAGCAAAACTATGAATTCAAAAGAAAAAAAACTGAGTCAAGCAAAATAAATTAAATTTCAAAAATAAAACTATAAGTTGCAAACAAATCATTTGTGTAATCATGTAAACTATAAGTATTTTTTCTTTGTTTTAACATAGGTTTTTGTTTGCAGTTCTTGTTTCTTCTTTCTCAATGATCAGACTTTTGCTCTCGCTGCAGCTGCAGCTGCATTTTTTTGTTTGAGATTTTGACACAAACATCCCAGGTGGGCGGAACTTTCAGGGGTGCGTCCCCATTGGCTACTCCGTTTTGAGTGACAGCCCACTACACCACAGATCATACAGTGCCACTCATGCAGCAAACTCCGGAGTCCACTCGGCCACGTTAGTGTTGGTGTCTCCTGGGGAGTTTCATGAACATATCGGACTCATTATATGGATTGCTCTGCTTTATACTTGTGATGTGTAGTTTACACTTTATTCCAACTTTAAATATTTTAATACCTGAACACACTGCTGCTGTTAAATAATTTCCCAATTTGGGATTGATAAAGTGTCTGTCTATTAATTGTATAGATTAAAAAAAGGAAATCTATGTATTTTCAAGCTAAAGGTGATACACACTGTATACTATTATTTTTTCAAAAGCATATATTGCTATGTTTAGGACAAACAATTAAAGACTGCTTTAATTGAACAAATTCTACAATATAAAAGTGGCAGATTTGTTTTATTAAACAGAGCAGACCTAGGCTGTATACCAACACAATTAGGAACATACTCACATCTCACTATGTTGGTCTGAAGAGCGGAAGCATTCATACACAATGGATACAAACTGTGTTGTTTCATTCTATATCCTGGGAGAAAATGATATACATTTAGCATTAAAAACTCTACATACTATTCCTAGCCTGAGGAAGATATGAATAATCAACAGATTTGAATGGAATCTCTAACATTTTCATGTAGAATAAAGACAAAAGAGTGATTATACAAATTACATTTATTGAAATTTGAACCAGAAGAAGAAGTCTCAAAGAATGTTTTAAATAAAAGGACATAAAACACAAAGGTGGATAATAATAAAATCTATTAAATGTAAAGACATTTGGTCAAATGAAATGACACTGAGCCAGTGATAACAACGCGTGGATGAAGCTGGTGCAGGTCTTTCTTCTTTTTTTCAGAAAAAATGATGATTTGGTAAGTTATTGTTAAAAAAATCCAGCTTTTGCGGTAGTAGTATGAATGCAAACATGACTGAAACTTAAAAGAAAAGAACAAACGGCTGAGTTGGTGTGTATAGAAACTGTTCACTTCACTTTTTTGGTTTCTACTACAAAGCAGTAATCAGCCCTCTGGATATGTGATGGTGTTTACACTGTGTGTGAAGAGGAAGTGGAATGGCTCTCTGCTGTAATGTGTTATGTCTGGACTACAGGAAGAGAACACTGCCATGCACCTCGCAGCACGGAGCGGGCACACACACATCCTGCAGAAGATGGTGGAGATGGGGGTGGACGTGGACGAGAGGAACAAAGTGAGTGGAGCGGGCCTCACTTGTGTGATTGGGAGACGTCTGATTTTTTTTCAACCTTAGTTTTTAATTTGACAGAGTTTATAAAATATCGTCAGTTTGTGTTGTTAGTAAACAGCAGAGGTGGAAGAAGTACTCAGATATTTTATTTGTATACTTACTTACTTACAGTAACATGAAATACAATCAAAAGTCAACACAAACATCAGCGAAACAGGTTAACTGACATCTTCATACTGTCTAATTGTTCTTTCTTGTTGGATGTTGCTCATCCTCTCCATTTAAAACAAATACTTTTTGTATATTTTCTGGTAAAAGTAGAAATACTACAGTATAAAAAATACTCTGTTACAGGTAAAAGTCCTGCATACAAAATCTTACTTGAGTCAGTACAAAAGTATTGTAATAATAATTTATATGAATAGACTGAATAAACTGTCTTTTGATATAAATATAGAAAACTTAAGAGCTGCAAAGGGTTTCACTTCATGAATCATGCAGGAATACTACACTGGTTTACCTCACAGCTGTTAGTACTCTGCTGATGATCTGTGGTCCAGGCACTACTGGGCACTAGGGTTGTGCATCTCCATCACTGAGGCCGATGCGATGCGCATCTCGATACGTTGCCAACGATACGATACATTAATGATACATTTGAAACACCAGGCGATGCGATGCGATACGATTCACCCCTGTTGCGATACAGTTCGATACGATTTGATTCAACATTATGCGATACGATGCGATTCAACACGATGCAAAAATAATGATACTTCAATATGGTACGACAGAGGATTTTAGTTTTATTCCTTATATGCAGCAAATCATAAATTAACAAAAAGTGCTTTACATATTTGGTTCTCTCTACTAGTACTGCGCATCCCATCATGCTGTTTCTTTTTGACCTTATACAACTCTCCAGAGTACAGTACAATTGTATAACACCTCACAGTTAAACAATTGAAGGATGCATTGCCCAGGATTAACAATGTGCAAATAACAACTACCATAGTCAAGCCCGCCTTAACCTGCCATCAGGCCCTGGGGTTGATAGGTTTTGTAGGCCCCCTATTTAAACAACAAATCAAAGTCATTTATAGCCTCGGCAGGCTCTGTGATCGCACTTCTCCACTCTGCTCTACGCGCGCCTGGTCCTCTCCTCCAGATGAGTGACGTATCGGGCCTCCCTCATGTATTTGTCCGGTTGCCGTTGGCTCCCCTCCACGTAGCAAGTCCTCGTCGTCCTCCCATCTCCTCCAACAGATAATGTCCCTCCTGTCTGTTTTTCCTCTCCCGCTACTCCATCGCTATCAGAACCAGACGGCCTACTTGGCTCCGAGACCCCGCGGCCGGCCCCGCTGCCGCTCGGTACAGAACTAATATGTCCTTCCTCTTCATCCTGGCCTACAGGTTTAAAATAACTTGTAAGCTTCGGCATGTTTTGTAATAGCTGCTTGTCTCGAAACTCCTTTTCCCTCAACAATTTCCTTTTCCGAGCGCCACTCAAACTTTTTCTTCTCCGACATTTTCTCCTAAACAACCTTCATCTGTCACTCAATCACTCGCAATTTGAATAAGTCACATGTGAAACATATTCTCATTCTGATTGGCTGTTAAGTGGTGCCCACTGACTGTTACGGAGTCATCATTTTTGAGAAAAATCTCTGGAATCCATCGATCTGATTGATTAGCGGAGCAAATGATCAAAATAGTATGGAGGGAAGATATTTTCGTTTGGATTACTGGTCTGGGGGAAGCTCACAAGTGTGTGTGTATACGTGTGTGTGTTTGTGTATTTTGCATTTGTGTGTATTGTGTTTGTTTCCCGGGGAAAACACTCACGAGAAACACCGGCTGTTGTTATGCCTGCTGTGACGTCAAGTTACTCCGTTCTCCGCTTGTAATTATGCCGAAGCTTCAAAGCTGTATTTATCATCTGAATTTGCCGAAACAAGTTTAATATTCTGAAAGCCAAGACTTTGTTTATTTGAAATCAGATGAAAACAAACTGTAACGGACCCTGCCGTGTTATCTATGATTACTATACGCCTTACATTCATAATTTCAGCGGAGGGAGGGAAAGCGGCGCTGTGGAACAGCAGAGTGGCGAGGGAGAGCTGTCTTCTTCCCTTTACAAGCTTCACAAATGTATTTATCGTGTGATTTTGGAAATAAAAGTTTCATATTCTGAAAGCCAAGACTTTGTTTATTTAAAATTAATTTTAAAAAACACCCGAAATAAAAAAAAGATATATTTGAATTTTTTTTTTAATTGGCTCATGATAGGCCCCCGATCTCCGTAGGCCCCTGGGCTTCAGCCCAGGTCAGCCCATGCATTAAGGCGGCCCTGACCATAGTGCAATACCCATACAGCTGCCAGCCTGATGTGCTTAACACTCATTCATAGGCTAACTCACCAGTGAGCAGAAAGCACTGGTTTCTATATGAACAATAAAAAAATAACCTTTCACAAACAGCTCTTTCATAACTGCTTACAGTAAGGAAGCCATTGAAACTATTATTGGCCGTCACAGGCTGCTGTAAACTAAACACCACTCTCTCTGACAGAACACCTCACTGAGTGATTTAACTCACGTCTAACTTTCAGGTTTCTCTTTTCAGACGCAGACCCCATGTCGCCTCTTTATATGCGTCGCTAAGTTCCTCGTACTACTTGTGTACTTTAAAGCGGCTCTGCATCGTTTACAATTTGCGAGCGATTTTTCAAGTTGACCGTGTTTCTTGAAAAATCCAAAGTGTTGCCAAACGTTTGATGTGTAGGTATTTTCAGTGCGCTGTGTTTCTCTTTCTCCTCGACTCCATGTGTGTTGATAACTGAGACTCTCGGCCTCCGTAGTATTTCTCTTTCTCCTCGACTTCCATGTGTGTTGATAACTGAGACTCTCGGCCTCCGTAGTGTTTCTCTTTCTCCTCGACTCCATGTGTGTTGATAACTGAGACTCTCGGCCTCCGTAGTGTTTCTCTTTCTCCTCGACTTCCATGTGTGTTGATAACTGAGACTCTCGGCCTCCGTAGTGTTTCTCTTTCTCCTCGACTCCATGTGTGTTGATAACTGAGACTCTCGGCCTCCGTAGTGTTTCTCTTTTTCCTCCACTCCATGTGTGTTGATAACTGAGACTCTCGGCCTCCGTAGTGTTTCTCTTTTTCCTCGACTCCATGTGTGTTGATAACTGAGACTCTCGGCCTCCGTAGTGTTTCTCTTTCTCCTCGACTCCATGTGTGTTGATAACTGAGACTCTCGGCCTCCGTAGTGTTTCTCTTTCTCCTCGACTCCATGTGTGTTGATAACTGAGACTCTCGGCCTCCGTAGTGTTTCTCTTTTTCCTCGACTCCGTGTGTGTTGATAACTGAGACTCTCGGCCTCCGTAGTGTTTCTCTTTTTCCTCGACTCCGTGTGTGTTGATAACTGAGACTCTCGGCCTCCGTAGTGTTTCTCTTTTTCCTCGACTCCATGTGTGTTGATAACTGAGACTCTCGGCCTCCGTAGTGCGAAGCAAAGATCAAAGGTCGTCTCTGCTGAGTGCCGACAGGATGAGAGGATATTATATGAATGAATCGTTTGTTTACCGATGCAAAGACGCTACAATCGCTGCATCACGAGTTCAACCCAAACTGTAGCCGATGTGCACTCTTTCAACCGGTGCACTCGCATCTTGAACCTTTATGCCGGTGCACCGATGTGAATCGGTGAATCTTAACATCCCTACTGGGTACACAAAGGTTACTCTAGTTTAGACTCTTTTAAAACAACTTTTAAAAACATATAATATTGCAGCAATATATGGCAGTCCATACAGGAAGAGAAACACTTTGACACGCTCAAACAACCGCTTCACTCGTGCCGTTTTGTTTGAACTTTTATTGCAGGAAAAAAACAAGCAAAAATACAGTACATCCAAATACCAATAACCTTGAATATGATGACGAATTCAATTGATGGTTAAGGACTTTACAGTAGAAAATTGTTGTAGAAACTTGCAGTCAACAGAAAGTTGCAGTCAACAGAAAGTTTTCGTCCCGCCTACACTGAGCAGGTAACCACTTACTCCGCCCAAACTCCAGTGCACGCTCACCACCAATACACAAAAAATAACACATTATAAATAAAAACACATACCGGTACACCTTAATACGGTATAACATTAATGAAATATTTCTCCAAATACCTCCTGGTCAGAGACTACTTGACTTTAGTAAAGAATTTCAACAAATTGGAGATAATTGACATCATTTGTGTCAATATCTTTACAGATTCATAGAAGATTAAGACAACAAACATCTGATATAAAGAATAAACTCCCAGCTATACTCAATACAAAATGCTGTCTTTGGTAAACACACAGGAGGAGGATTGGTATGACTGTTTTGTATTGAGGCTTCATGCTAAGTAAGATAATTATATCAATTTGACTAAAACCTTATAGTGATCTGCTGCAAAAATATTAAAATGCATAACAATTTGAATGGTACCTGTCAGACCTCTACTTAGGCTGATGCTGCTTTTACATGCTCCTTGGACAGTCCAATTTCCTGATTTTGAAATCTTCTTTGGACTTTGCTGTGTTTGTGAGTCTTGTAATGTTGAGAGTTTTTTTTATCATTTTGCTCAGAACGTTATACAACACGTCGATTTCTGCTTTTCGAAATTGTTGTTCCTTCCCAATGTGAATACTTCCAATCGGGGACATTTGACACCACATGAATGCAACACAAATTCCCTATCTTACAATTTTAACAACATATTGACTCATAACATAATTACTGTGTATGCCCCGTGTTTTGAAAAGGCTCCAAAATGTCATGACTCCCTTTTCCTTTGCTACACCCTTTCACGTAGTTTCATGAAAATACTGCCTGTAGTTTTCCATTAACCTGCTGACAGTTTGCTTTCACTGAAAACACTGAAACATTGACTTTATTTAAAAGTATTATGTCAACGAATTTCACAAAACTATATTAGGTTAGTTAAAAGCAATACTATTAAGTTGAATCTTTTATTTAAACTTAATATTATTGCATTCACCTAACCTAATACATTTATGTGAAATCTGTTGACATAATAATAAAGGTCAATGTTTCAGTTTTTCCAGTGTTGTTAGTCCACATTGTCAGCTGTGTTCTCACTTGATCCTGCTTCATATTTTATTTTTCTCTGATCATATCACTGGAATGGCAAACTGACCTTGTGTTTGGCTCACTGCTTGCACATAAAAGGCTCTTTCAAGTTGTCACTTATCTCTGGTAGCCTTCCATAAGTGGTTGTCATGATTTGTTGACATTCAATAACATAATTAAACAATTGACTGACTTCACAACAGCTGCAGTCAGTGTGGAGCGCTGTGCACTGACACGCTCCCTCTCTGTTCCAGGAAGGCCTCACAGCGCTGCACCTGGCCTCTGACGGAGCTCACTGTGAGTGTGTCCGGCTGCTGCTGGAGGCCGGCTGCGAGGCTAACGCTCTGACTAATGTACGCTCTGTCCACTCAATGGCATATATCATTTGCAATAAACACATCATATTGTGACTTTTTAAAATCTTTCCACAGTCTAAAACTATCTTCCTTTTCCTGCCTGCAGAAGAACATGACTGCCCTTCATTACGCGGCTCAGCATGGCTCTGACAGAGAAGCCAGTCTGCTGCTGGAGGCAGGGACCCACAGAGACGCTGTGGACAGTGTAAGGATGCAACACATTTATTAGATTGTATGATGGAGTAGATGTAGATTTTCTATCCTACTCTGCTTTATCTGAGTTCTGTTCTTATAATTATATGTATTTTATGTCTCTTTTATTTTGCATTTATTTTATGTCTTTGTACATTTTTTTTTTATTGAATTATTTAGAAAATTCTTATTTTCTCTTGAATTGACTTTTTCTTATGTCATGAAATGAACCCTATGTATTTGATGTCATCATTTCTAGTATCAGAAACAGGTTTATTGCCAAGTACGTTTAAACACATGTAACACAAATTGTAAGAAAAGGACCAAGGAATAGGACAACTAAAACATATTATAAATATTTACACATATTTTAAATAAACAAAAAAACATATTGTATAATGTGAAAAATAAAATAAACTCCTTTATGTGCAGTATTGGGATGTAAAGTAGAGTGCTGTGCAGATTGTAAAAGAGCTGTGTTGACACATTTACAAGATGAGTTCATAGGATGTGTGCATTAATGTAACATGTGAGTGTACAATAATATAATATACAAATGCTGTCATATAAATGGCAACGAGCATTGATATACAGAAGGTGAAGTGCCGAAGCGGCCATGTTTCTGAGACGTCAATAAATGTGACAAAATCACATTTTCTAACCTTTACGTACTTTGTAAAGCTTTACAAATGCTTGGATGAAAAGTAGTAGTGTCATATATCCTCTATATACATGTTAGAGTGATATTACATATATATTACATACACACAAGCACTCACATGTCTGTCTGTATGACTGTGCCCTGTGACGTGCTTCTCTGTTCAGTGGGGGGGAGAACATGCAGCAACCACTAGTTAGCATCACCAGCAGGGTTATTACCCCCAGTGGCCGTATCACCATCACACTGTGGCAGAGAGCATTGCATTCTGCTACCCCCCCCCCCCTTTATATAAACATCTCTCCCCCTCAGATTCCACTGGGGGACACTAGATGGATGAACATAAAGCTACACATACAAACTGCACCACTTACCGTAAGATCGCCTCATTTGCTAAAACAACATCTAACCCTATCATTAAAAAATGATAATGGCAATGCTTTATTCACAAGTGTACTCTTTTAGATATTTAAAATTATTAAATAAAAATGATTTGGCTAAAAGGATATTCCAGATATTCAAGGTATTCTTATTCTGTTCAGCCTGTGTATTGTTGACTTTAGAAACGCAAAACAGTTCTAGAGTGAGATGGAGAATTTGAGTCGATAATATCAAAAGACAAAATAGATTTTTTGCTTCTAAGGTTCCCACATGTCTAAAAAAGAATTACTAAATAGGGAAATATGTATATTGGCAAGAGTACTTGACATAAAATCACCTATTCTGACACCAAAAACTTGGTTGCAGGCCATGGTGGGTCCTCTGTGTTGACATGTTTATTATCAGGATCAAACTGTGGATGCATATCCATTTAAAGGATCTTTCTCTGTGTTTGGAACAGCAACACAACACAGCTCTGCACCTCGCTGTGTTCCACCACCATGCAGAGGTTCTGCGGCTGCTCATAGGCGCTGACTGTGACCTGGACCTCGCTGACCGTGTGGGTACACACTGCTGACTCTGACCTGTGCATGTTAAAAGGGAGGGTCTGGATATTATGAAGGGGGTTGTATGAAGTTAACAGATTTCATGGGAAGTGGAGCAGGGTGAACAAACGCTGGAGACAGGAAGTTAAACAGAAAATACCCAAAGTGTTGGGGATCCAGGCAGGTCAAGACGAACAGAACTTCCTATTACATGACATACAAGGATCCGGACAAGACTCACAGAAAACCAGGATTTTAATAAAAGCTGAAACTAATGAGGGCATAAAGTGCAGGTTTACAGGAGGTCAGGTGATCGCAGGGCGGATGGGGAACAGGTGAAACGAATAGGTCCAACACGGACAATCGAACAGCCGTTAAAACACAGGTGATAAAAACAGACATATTACTCATAGAAATGTTTTCCAAATAAAACAGGTAAAATAAAAGTAAATAGGATCTTCACACTGATCCATAGTCAGTGTTTCAGCTACAGTAGATGGATATTGGCACGCCCTTGGTTTGGAGAAACACACAGGAGTTAGTGCATGGAAGCTAAGCTCTGTACTGCTGTACACGGGGGGGCAGCAACATGTATTTTAACACCTAATTAAAAATCAATATCATATAAGTGTACGCTTTATTTGCACTGCTTTACCCAGCTGTCAGGGTGTGCCAGCTACCATTCACTGTAGGCAATACAGTGACTGTGGATAAGTACCTCAACAACAACCCCTTTTCCGTACATGTGTGAGATCCATGAGTGCACATTCACAAAGATATGGAGCTAGTTCGCAGAGCGACATGGAGGCTACAGTGCAGCACTCTCTGATATCTGTGGTGTGCTCCTCAGAGACAGCAGACTGCGCTGCACATCGCAGCAGAGCACGGCTGGCAGGACCTGGCTGAAATGATGCTCATCTCTGGAGTTGACCTCAATCTGACTGACAAGGTACCTCATAGCACAATACTCCCCCCCCAGTCAGTGCTGTACTCCAGCAGAATTGCTTTCCATGTCATCAAATCATAACTGTTTTTATATGAAAATAAGAATAGAACTGGTTAACCTTTGTTCTGTGGGTAATTTCTCTTTTGTATTATTACTTTGACTTGTAGATCATACTAACCTGTATACTGCATGGGCGTAGGAAGCATCCTGAATGTGAGGGGGACATTTTTAAGGGGGGGTGTGGGGGTCTCCCCCAAAAAAAAAAAAAATAGTAGATGGTGGTTTGATACTTTTATGTGGCTATACTAGCATGAGGAAAATGATGGGTAAATTTTGTAATTTCATCCAGTAGTAAAGAAAGGAAACATATTTGATTATTAATTGAGAGCCGTCTTTGAATGAATAAAAAGCAGTTTAAATGCCCATTTTTTTGTACATTTATATACAACAATAAATATTTGTGAGTGCATTGAGAGATATTGTTGTGGAGAGTAATTCATATATAAATCGCAAAATACATTTGTGAATCCTTCTGTGAGCATTTATTAATATTGAGACTGATCTGACTCCATACCGATGTTAAGTTCACCTAGAAATGGTATCATTGACTTAAATGTTCAAATAAATGTTGCTCTTCTGTCTATATTGGTCACATGATGCCCCTTGACTGAAATGTTTCCTGTTCAATATCCCCACTGATTTCCTTAACATTCTGGGATGAGAGTCCACATCACAATTTACTCTAAACTGTCATATCCCTTTCATCACTCACCTCAGCAATGGACCTCTCTCCACTGTCCCTGTGTTCTGCCTCTGACTCACTCTCAAGCGCCTAGATGTCAAGAAAGGTGGTGAAGTGATCATTATTGATTGAGCAGTATACTCTTTCACATTGAATCATAACAAGTCATGCTGAATGTAAATACAACTGACTCTAAAGTAAGTCCTAGTCTGTGACATTGGACATTTTGAAGACTCCAAGTCCGAAGCAGTAGGTAGAATATTAGCTAGTCTATGTAATGTGCACAGAAAATAAATAGTTAACTGAATACTGGGATGGAAATTGCCTATAAGCACTCAGTAAAACATAAACACACACAAAAAGCTTCTGAATGATAAGTATAATTAAAACATAATGCACATTACCCTTTTGAGAGAGAGTACCTAAGTTAAAGAACTCAGAAAATAATCTCTTATCAAACTGAGGCTCCAGTAAAACACACTGACTGCGTCTACATCATGGTGTTTACATGAGCACAGAGAGATCGGGTTATTCATGTTCCCTGTTTACATGATAAATACTAGTAACCTGGCATTTCGATGCCTTTTCTCATCTAAACTATTCAGTATTTGTATCTCTCTATCATGACATAAAGACGAAACTCATCTCCAGAAGTGAGACGGCGCCGCCGCCATCACTGTTAACTGATTAACTGCTACCAGCTGATGACTTACTTTCCTCTTCTTTGAAATGTTCTTATGTCCATGTTGTCTGGGGGAGAAAACATTTCAAACCAAGAGATCGTCAGCTTTGATTTTCGCTGTATTAACCATTTCCTGAACACTTGGTGTGTGTGCCTTAGTTACCTCTGCTACCGGCATCGCTTCATACAACAGATCTGAGCTGTCCAACTATGACAACACTCCTTGAACATGCGCGCTATGTGAGAATCTGCCTTGGTACAAAGTAGCAGTGAAAACATGGTACGGAGTTTCATTGATTTGGGCATTCTCTCAATAAGCAAGTGGAATGGATTTGATAGTGAAGCACTGACACAGCGCTCTACAGAGTGCGGCGAGTGGATAGACCGATTCACGGACTTTCCACATGGTAAAAGTGGAGGGGTCTAAACTAATCATTTGAAAAAGTGGGGGGGACTTGTCCCACCCTCATATAATGGCTGTGACGCCCATGGTATACTGTATACCAGTGCTTGAATTGGAATGAAAAAGGTGCCAGTACTCTAAAATCAGCAACTTTTTCAAGTCAATTATATATATACAGCCCACAAACAAGAATTTGGCTACTATAATGCTGGTGGGTTTGTCTCTTTACTACTGTATATTTTAGAAAGGTTCACTGTACTTAACATTTTTTATGATAGGCAGCGGATATGGCTAAAGCTCAGTAAGGTCAATATTAACTGAAAATATAGCAATCAAAGTCTAGATCTTCTGCTGAAGACACATGAAGCAGAGACCTTTCAGGTGAGAGCCCCTCTGGTGGTGTTCAACATTAATGACAAGGAAACAAAGCTCTGGTCAGAAGCATTTTTTATAAAAAGCTTTAACAAAATTAAGTATTTCTGTACATTTTGAATGCAATCTAACTTTCCAACTCAGAAAACGAAAAACGAAAAAGTGCCAAAAGTCTTCTCACATGGCTGAGCTGCTTTGCAATATACTTCACCACTGAAGAATACAAATATGTATAAAGTAAACTATGATGCAATCTAACTTTCCAACTCAGAAAAATGATAAAGAGCATGAACAAAGAACATGTAAAAACAAATGCAAAATTTGCACAATCTAAAATGAGAAACTGTAACTGCAAGTAACAAAGTCTGAGCCATGGTAAAGAGTTACATTGAACACCAAGCTGATCAGATAACTCCCTGGTTGGTCTGAAGTCCTTCTATCTCCAGGATCTGTACAAATCGGCACATTATGCCAAAAGTCTTCTCACTGGGTGAGCTGCTTTGCAATATACTTCACATTGTTAGAAAAGGCTCCAGAAGGCCTTGGGGACATCAGTATCAGGGGCTGGAGCTGGACAGGCTCTTTCATCAGCACTTCTCCTTCCCTTTGCCAGCCAGGACCTCACATACTGTTCCGGATTGAACTGTCCTAGTGATGGTCCATTACATTTAATGAAAACCAGGCTGGACAGTCGGCTGACAGAGAGAGCATTCCTTTTTGCAGTAAGGATATCGTTCATGCAGCTGAATGCCCGCTCACACTCACTAGTGGAGACAGCGATGGTTCGGACTGCTTTCAGTAGAGGCTCCATGGCAGCAGGTGTACGGGATGCCCTGGTTTCCTTGTATTCGCGAAAGCCCTGAACAGTCTCTCTTCTGTCCACTTTCAGCACTTCGCACAAACGTAGCACCTCTACGTCCCCATACTGTACGTCTAACTCCTCTTCAGGCCAACTTCCAGGATGGATAACTTTCATGTCCTGGATTAGCTGATTGTCCCGGGCCTCCCGGCCATGTAATGGGATTTCCCTTGTGCTGACATGAGAGGAGGTTGTGGAAGTCATTCTGTGTCTCAGATTCTCTACCATACTGCGGAAAAACTGACCTGCATGAATCTGTACAAGCCTGCCATTCTCACGCAGGGCAACACCCTTGAAGGACTTCTCAGCTAGAGCTGTATGAACTGTAGTGTGGGCCAGGCATGGTGACCATGGATTCAAAAACTCGTATTTCTCGAGTTAAGAGCCTATCTGCTGTAGGCAGTGTCATCTCTCTTTTTTGGAGTTGCCGAGAGAGGTCGCTGAGCTCTGTGAGCGCATCGTACATCAGTCCCAGATTGCTGACAAACGTTGCAGATGTGAGCACATCATCCAGGCCGTTGTACTTTGCTCTGTCTCTGGAATCCCTGCTCGTGTCGTTTGCAGCATTTGTGAAGTGATCATGAAGCACTCGGTAGTTTTCCCAGACTGCTCTGACGCTCCTTTCACTTGAAGCCACCCAGCGGATGGACAACACACGCCCTATCACCAGGAGACGCTGTCCGACTGCTTGCGCACACTGCGCTAACTGCCTCTGATTTTTGGGGGAGGCATGGAACAAGGAATAGAGTTTGTCAAAAAAGATCTGGAAATGATTGAGCCCTGAGACCTCCTTGACCACATCCCCAACTGCCAGCTCTAGATGATGATTGGAGCAGTGCCACACAAACAGGCTTGGGAATTTACTACACAACTGGGTAGCAACGCCTGTTCTCTTCCCTAGCATGACTGAAGCCCCATCACATGCAAAATAAACGAAACACTGACCTAAAAAGTCCTCGTTAAAATCTCTTCCAAGACACTCCATTAACGCCTTTGTGATGTCATCAGCCGTTGTTCCATCCAACTCGATCAGCTCCCAAAAAAACGTTTCGGGCTCAGCATCAGCTAATGCTGAGCGTAGACACACAACAAGCACCGTTTTACCACTAATAGTGGTAGATTCATCGACCAAAACACAGAGTTTTCTTTGGTTTTCTGTAATGTCTTTTGCCATTTTTTTCTTCAGCTCATGAGCTATGTGGTCGATGATTTCGCCACAGGTTTTATTGGAGTGCAAAACCCTGCCCACGTTCAGCCCATTCAGTTTCTGTACATTCAAATCAATTGGCATGTCTGTGAATGGCCGGCTATGTTTGCCAATTGTATATGCCGTTCGAAAAACTCTGATAGTGGTGTCTAATTCAGATTTATGCATAGACTGCACTTGATGTTGAATAGTTTCACGTGAAGCAGATGTAAGGATGTCAGCAACTTTTACATGGGCTTGTGATTCTTTATGTTCTTTGATTTTTTTTCTCAGGCTAGCTTGTTGTTTGCCCTTGTCAACACCGAAATGAGACACTGCACACTCACCCCATTCAGTTGACAGTTTCAGTCCTTGTCCAGTGTGTATTCCCAAAGATTTGACATCTCTGCATATCCGACATCCTAGCTTCTTATCTTTAAGAAGGAGCCATGCATTGGTCTTGCAAAAAATATTGCACCTGGTCCGTTGTCCAGCAGTCAGGTGCATCGCTTTGCCCGGTGTTGGTGGTGGCAGTTGCGCCAGCAGCAGCTAACGTTAGAGGCTCTGGAGGAGGCGGCGGAGCTAGTGCTAATGCTAATGCACTAGAACTTGGAGCAGGAGGATCAACCAAAGAAAGCTCCCCATCAGACACAATTTCCAACACAGGCACAGCATTCTCTGTATTTGAAGTTTCTTCCGGCGACAACCGCTGTCTTTTTGCACTTTTATTAATCCACGCTAACATTTTAGAAATGCTAATTTGTGACGTGACTTGCTTTCCTTCTCTCGGGGGCGTGCCTGCTCTGTTCTATCACTCTACATAGCCACCCACTGGGTGGGAGTTGCACTGCATAAACACAACACACGTGCATCTAGGTATGTAAATTGTAAAGCATTAAAACATGGTTTTACTAACAGTTTTCAGTATGTTGTTACTTCGGCATTATTATTATTATTATTATTATTATTTTGAAACGTGTATTACTATCAAATCACGGTCAAATAGGTTAATTTTGACATAGTCGTTTCCACCACAGTATTTACATGGAGAAGATAAGCCCCGCCCCCTCTCCAGCAGGTTCTGTTTGAATGACAGGAGTAAACAGCTGACAGCCGCTGTGAAACTCCAGCGGTTAGAGCGATGAGAATGTCCGTTCGGCACCTCATGACGCATCTACTGAGTACCGGGCGGCTGTATATATATATATGGATGTATAATAAGAACGGCGGGAGAGTGTTGAGTACTGGCACGGTGCATGAGTACCGGAGTACCGCCAGCATGCCGGTACTGAGCAAGAAGTGCCGGTACTCCATGGGTCAGAACCAGAAGTGCCGGTACTGCGTACCGGTGAGTACCGGCCCAATTCCAGCACTGCTGTATACATGTATAACTATAATGCTATCTATAATATTTCCAGCAGGGGAAGACCTGTCTGGAGGTGGCCGCCAGAGGAAACCACGTCATCTTGGTCGACATGATCATCAAAGCTGACCGCTTTTATAAATGGGAGAAGGTGAGTGTCCTCACACCATCTGGAATAACTTTATTAAATAACATGACGAAAAAACTCAAATCCAAATACTTTCTCTTCTAGAAACTGATATTGTTCGGTTTGTTAAATAATCTAACATGTGACACTGCTACAGTATAGGGCGTTGCTTTTGATGCATGATTGACAGGTCCTGCAAAAATGTTTTACAGGAGATACATTTGACTTTGTTATTTGTATTTTTCTCCAGAAAAAATACATGGAACTAAGTTAAAAAGTCACTAATGTACAGAATGCTGAAGTACACATAGGAAACTGAGCTTCTCCACGAGACTCTCATTCAGTGGAGCTCAAAGCTCCAGTTTTTCTAAACTTTGTATGAATATTCATATTGGCAGTGACATGAGATTTGTTACCATTCAAGAAGCATCATCCGGTTCTGAAAAGTAAAGGCCATAAACCACTGGTGGCAATAAGCTGTCTGATTTTATAGAAGTCTATGAGGAAATGACTCGACTTCTCACTTGATTTATTACCTTAGTAAAGATTGAATCATGTTTTTATTGTCTCAATCTGTAGTTTGAAGAATTCTTCTGTTTAGCTTGTTATAAAAAAGACAATAAAGCAGCTATATTGTGATCGACAGGTCTCTCCCACTGTGTTGTCGGCTTAGGATAATTATTTATACTTTTACCAGTGTTCTTTGGTTCATTTAAACATGTTGGTGCATAAATATTTTGTATTTAGCGTTGTACAAAGCTACAATGTAATGTCTGGTTCCAAAAAACCTTTTAATTTGTATTCTGAAATACATCCAACATTGTCCTGCTGTAGGATACCTCTGTAGGCTTCTCTGATGTGTATGAAGGTTCAGGCCCCACCAAAGCAACCACAAATGTTAATGTTTTCATAGCCTTCATTTTATTTGCATCCTATAGCAGTAATCTGGCCATCTTGAAAAGACAGAGTGAGCTTTGCTGTTTTTAATGGTACAGTAAACCACATCTGTACACTTTGTCTGAAATCCTCAGGATCAGATGGGCAGGGAGTTGGACTCCTGGGTGGGGCGGCCCCTGAGCTTTAAGCAGGACCACCAGCAGGAGACTCAGCACCTCCGCTCGGTCCTGTGGAGCCTGGCCACCAAGCACCTGTGCCGGGGGGAGTGGAAGATCCTGGCCCAGCACTGGGACTTCAGCGAGGCTCATATACGGGCTGTAGAACAACAGTGGACAGGTGGACTGCTGAAAGAGATTAAAACACACGTTAGATACAAGGAATACACAACTCTTTTTGGGCCAGTTTAGCCTTTATTAGAGAGATACATTTGAGGAGGACATAGAGGGTATGAGAAGCGTACTCAAACTTGCATCTTGGGTTTAGTTTTCTTTTTTTAAATCTTGAAAATGTATTTGTAGCAGCATAAAGAAATAAAACATAAAAGTATAACTAAAAAATGAACTGCTAGGGCACCAGTAGGCAAATCTTACGCAAGGAAAATGAGAAGTCCAGGCAAGAGCATCCTTTTGTGCATTTATTTCTGATGATCCAATATCATACAGTACTCTACAGTTATAAATCTTGCCCAGTCTTTCCTCGTGGTTTCCCACCTCCACCTGTCTCCAATATATACATGTTACCAGGTGCCCAAAACCACCTTCAAAATAAAAGCGTAGAGAATTACTTTAATTAACTCAATTAATTTCACTGAATAATAATACATTCATTGTAAACCAAAAAAGCAAAAAAATAAATGTTTGACTATTAAATAATATAAATTTAAATATTGCTCAGACAGTATTGATATGTGTTCTGATTCTGTATCGAACTTGTAGGTATGAAAAGCTTCAAAGAGCACGGCCACAGGATGCTGTTAGTCTGGCTTCACGGCGTGGTGATGGCGGGGGAGAACCCGGTCAAAGGTCTCTACGAGGGGCTGGTGGAGATCTCACGGACAGACCTCGCAGGTGAGATCCTCAAACTGCACTGTGGCTTCTATTATTGTGAAACTGCCCCTGCTTTACAGAGCTCTGCATCTCTCATCTCATCTTCTACCGCTTATTCGAGTCGTATAACTTTCCTTTGCCTGTCAGACAAACAATCAGCTCCCCTTGGACAAGAATCCAAGGGGGGATTCTTGTATCCGCAATCTTTTTCTTTCGGTCATGAAAAGAGCCCTGCATGCTTTTCTATATGCTGCTTAGTCTGTGAGATGTGTGATGTGAGGTGTAGTCCATGCTGTCTCTCTAAAGTGAACCATCCAGTAAGCCAAAGATGACTCTACGACACACTTTTAATGACAGAACCCTCATTTGCATAATGCAGTGGAGATATGTAAAATAATTTATTTATCAAAGAAAACTGAAACAAATATATTTGTATTAAAATACATTAAGTAATGATCACATACATTTTATAACACATTGAACGTTATGAAAAGTTAAATGATAAAGTTTAATTAATAAGCCAACTATTTCAAATGATAAGACAGTTTACCAATCCATTTTTGCTTAAATGTATTACTAATATATATTTGTATTTATTTATTTAAGTGCAGATGTATATATTAATCAAGTCATTTATATATTTGTATTTACACATGTTCCAAAATGCTAATACTATTTCAGATTTTTTTTTATTTGTTCAATTGACTGTATGATATAAAGACTAAAGATTCTTAGTAAAAAATAAGTTAAGTTGTTTTAACTTGTCCAATTCCTTGGGTGTGAAGGTGTATAATTTCTTATTGTTTTTCTAATATCCAGAGTCCATCCGGCAGAAGGCGAACGCAGAGAGCTGCTCCCTCAAACTGTGCTCTGCTATGTGATCCACGCTGAGGGGCTGTGGGGGGGACAGAGCTCTGAGGAACTGTCAATGCCCCAACTGAGCCCATGAGTAGGTTTGTATTATCCATGACCTGTTTACATTATTCACATACTCAATATACTGTGATTGTTCAGAATTTTATAAAAAGATGGTTTGAAACCTGTGAAATATCTGTTTATAATGTAAAATAAAAAATGTCAAGGGCTTGAACGGTTACAACATTTCCCGTGAGCTGGAACGTGTTGAAATATGTACAACCAATAATTGGATATTACAAGAAAATGTTTATAAAAAAACATGACTCCAATCAACCAGATGATTGCGATCTTGGCGGGACCACGCCCCCCCCCCCATACAGTACCATTAGCCTGATTGACTTGACATTTGACACACATATCCAGCTCAATTTGCTCTACAAAGAAGCCTAAAGAATCACTCAAGTCAGCTTGACTACATTTTCCACCAGAACATTTTTGACAAAAAGCGTTTACATTTTATACGCATGCAAGAAAGAGGCGTGGCACAACATGAATCCAACTATAATTCACAAATGTATTTGTCCAATTAAGCTGTTGAAAAATGTCCCCAAGTGCTTTCCAAAAATTAGAGGCCACTTGACTTCGAGTATGCAAATATGTAAAGGTTGTTTGCACTCACAAAAAAAACTGAATTTGCATGCAGTAAATGCTGTATCTGTACACTAAGGGCTGTGACGTCTAAAAGCAGCTGAAGACTCGCCCATGTAGACTTAACTGTGTTTAATTGCTCCGCGGTTACTATGGTGTCTGTCTGTTTTATTAAGATTGTATTGTTACAAACTTTATAATGTTTGCTCTCGGGCGGTGCTATAAAAATGAATGAAATGACACCAGCCACACACTGCGGCAGCTACCACAGACAGTAACCACTCTGCAGACAGCGTGATACACAGCAGCTTTATTATGGTTCTTGTTGGTGACAGGTTTCACTGCTGTGGTTCCACAGTCTGTCTGAGTGTGAGCCACGGCTTCAGGCTCTGCACTCTGTCTTTGTGGCCTTAAAGAAAACACTTTAGGTTCAGTTCTGAAAGGACTGCTTTGTCATAACTAGCAACATGAGCAGTCCACCTCAGTGTAATCCTCAGTTCTACCCAGTTGTCCAAAGCACAATGTTCATCTCCACCTGAAGCCCTGCTTTAGGGGTCACAAGATGAACTTCAGGTTTTCAAAAGATGATTTACAGGACAGTAAAGCAGAAAACTACTTGTATACCACTCAGATTGATATAGTTCTTTTATTTATTTTTTCTCTTGAATAACTGGATTATTTTACTCCTTACTGAATCTGAAAAATATTCAGTATTTAATGGTTTTTAACAATTTACTAGATAACCAAGTTTAACTTGGCAAGACTTTACTGGTGTGTTACATTGGAAAATAAATCCAGTTTGTAAAAAACCGAGCTTGAGGAATTGAGAAGACGGGTTGGATTTCCTACACACAGTCGCACATTTTTGCGCACAATATGTCTGGATCCAGATAAATAAGGTTAAAGGTGCATAAATATAATTGTTTGCATGAATATAATACAAATCTCTCTCTGAAGTAATACAATCAGTTTTTGTAATGATTTGTATGATACATATAATGTTTTTCACTACAGTATTATAGTGTTCAAATGAACTGCTGAATTTCAACATGAATGCACATTTTTTAAATGATTATTATTACTGGTTTAATCAAACAGAGAGTGTTTAAAGAGTTTTTGCTGTCAAGCAACTGAATTTTCAATTATTTGTGTAGGTGGGTTATGAATATAAATTCTGTTTGCATGATTCACTTTATAAAAAGCCAGACTGGTCCTTGAACCCCTCATGAGATTAGCACTTATTGTATAATGATCAATGCACAGTGGCGACTTGTCATTAGGGGCAGGTGGGGCACAGCCCCACCTAGTGTCAGCAGAAAGTATTAAAAATAATGATTACAACAAAATGCAAAAAATAAATTAAAAAAAATATAAAATATATTTTAAGATCATGTTTAATCATCTGATTCGTCTGTACATTGCTGTTTTAGTCTGTGTTCTTGTAATTAGTGTCTACAGTGTGTGCCTATTGAGCTGTTTAGAGCCATGTGGGACAAAACCCGATCCTGCCCCTCCCTCTCACTGTCTAAGTGAACGGTGACTGTAAAAACTACACTGCGCATGCCCAGAATATTGTCCTATTTAATGTGTGTGGCAAACAAATAATGACCATAGGGGCACTGAGCTGCCATCCCCACCATTCAGAGCTGATTGGCTGTAAGTACGTGTGCCGCGAAAAGTGTGGTGTGTGAAGAGGAGAGGAGAGAGCTGCAGTGAGGCGTCCTAAAACCCAGAAGTAAGCTGCGCATGGCTTCCCTCGACAAAAAAGCAATGAGATTTCTCCATAGGATTTTAGAAAATAGCTCCAAATAAGGTCTGTGGGAAACAAACCTGTTAGATAAATGCACGTTTTGTTCAGCCGGATAATATCCACATGTCTACCCTACTTTTATAATTTTCGAATCATAAATCTATTGATTAGATTAGATTTATGATAGACTTTTGAAACTACAAGAACATAAGGAGGACTTTTACAAAAAAGTAATAGAGATTTTTGTCCAGAGGGATAGGCAAATGGACTTAATCTTCAAGTCAAGGTAAGACTGCAATTTTATTGAAAATGGGATCTTACTAAGAGAGAACAATTCAATATTTAAATCAATGATACAATTACATTTTTTGGCTATCCTTTTGTTGAACTGTCTGTTTAAAATTAATCGAAGCATCAGACAAAAAAAGGTTTTGAAAATAATATTATATTTTGATTTAGGTCAAAATATAATATTTGTAAACCTGAAGAGTCAGAGTCTCACCAGCCATGAACCTCACTGCAGAAGCTATAGACATTTAAGTGTTTTGTGCCCCACCACTTTTGTACATATAAAAACGCCACTGTCAATGCAATACCTATATTTTCTCAGCAGCAATGCAGATATATATTTTCTATAAATAATGTATAAACTTTCAATGTTACTTTGTACATGATATGTGGGGGCGTGTAGCGCAGTGTGTGCGCCAAGCCTTGGTGTTGGGATCAGGGGGTCACAGGTTCAAACCCCACTGCAGTCAGCATGTCGTTGTGTCCCTGAGACACTTCACCCCAAAGTGCTCCTGTGGGGATTGTCCACAGTATTGAGTATGTGAGTCGCTTTGGATAAAAGCGTCTAACAAGTAACATGTCATGTTCATAAGACTAATAAAAACTCCACTGTGAAAACAAATTCCATGCTGCAATGTTTACCTACAAAGTGTTCTCTAAACTCCCACGGCACCCAGAATACTAATTAATATTACATATTTACATTCACATCAATCTTACACATTTGCAATTGTTAAATGATCAGGGCCTATGAGCTTAAAGTAAACATTACATTTATTATGTGTTTCTTAATATTTGTATTGCCTTGCTCAATATTTGAAAGAGAACGCACGTGCACATTTTTATTTATTTTAAAAGATGTTTGAATGGTGATATACACAGTGATAGATGTTAAGGACTAACGTTTATAATAAATACATCTGTATTGATTTTAAGATCTTTTTATAGTTCATACAATCATACGTATTGGGATCATTGGTATTAATGTGGACCGGAGAGAGAGGGTGACGACAGCATAAGTTTCACTTTCCTTTTTTATTTCAATTCAAACTTTGGTCATGAAGAACATGTTTCTCTGTTGTCCACGTTCATAAAGCAACAGCATCAGAGCACGGTGCAGAGTCTCTAGATGAGTTTACAGTAGTCCCTCGTTCTTATTGAACATCCATGTTGTAGTCCGCTGTATAGAAAACTGTAGTTTCCATAGTTTCCCCACAGCAGCAGACGCACATTTATGACGTCCGCTGGCGCATCATAAACACGTCGGATAGTGAAAGTGCAGTCGGAGTCTAAAGTACCGCAGTCCTTTTGAATTCTCCTATCCACTATCCCTTAACCCTGTGACGCTTCACTCAGAGGTCAAGGAATAGGAGATAGGGTTAGAATTTAGGAGCTGATTTTTGGATTATCCGACTTCAGCCAAGGGTTGCGTTCCGATAATCCAAAAATCAGCTCCTAATCGGCCTACGCGGTCTCGTCGGCCGCATACTGCGTCGACCGCGTAGGCTGATTAGGAGCTGATTTTTGGATCAGGCTGGACCGAGCGGCCTACGAAATGAGACGGTCTAGCCTACGGAGCGCTTCGTGTTTACGCCACGTGATACGCGCTGTTGCGTTGCTCCAGCAGCCTGCTAGCAAATTAACTGAAAAGGATCCAGAAACTTTACTTTTACATTTTTTGGAGATCACCGTCGGAGATTAAATAAAGAGAACCATGGCCAGGTAAATACGATGAAGCTGTTCCTTTAGCCCCCAGTAATGTTACATTAGTAAGTTAACAAATGAATTCAATATAGCTGATGTAATTTAATCATATTATTTCATATTTAAAATAAGTCTTAATTTTTCTGTACTAATACAACAATATGTTTTTTAAAGGAACAAAAGCATGTTGTATAGATTGATTGTTAACAATATTAGTGTTCCAATCTTTTTAGCTGTGATTATAACAGTTTATATTCTCCTTCTTCCCCTAAACCTGCCCAGATGATGTCCCACTGACCCCAGGTCCAGCAGCACCGTGCCCCCCCCCCCCCCCCCCCCCCCCGCTCTGCTGAAATACACAATTAAACATTTTCTATGACCTATTTTTTTTATTAATAAAATTAAACTGTAGCTCCCTCCAGTAAAAGACACAAGGCTGAGGTCTTGATTAAATACGGGGTTTATTCTTGTGGGACCTATTCCAACCCGTGAGAACTGGGTTATAAGACAGAAAAATATAAAAGTTAAACAACAAATAAATATGTAATATATGCATATGTCATCACTGTTAATGCCGCCAATTAAACAATAAACGGCGCACATATCCCACACAGCAAGTAGCACAAGCTAACAATAGCATGTAGCACAAGCTAGCGCATACACAAACCTGCAGCTCAACCGCACACAATTACACAAACAACCAGCACGAAAACGTACCTCGTAGGCTGCTAGTCACCAAGAAGGGCTGATAACTTTATATGCATTTTCCCTTGGTTCCCTTAGTTTTCCTTTAATGTCCTGCGTTGCTCTGCCGTTGCAATTATCCAGTGCGTCGATTAAACAGGTGTAACACAAAACACAGCAGATTAGTTCCGCCTCTAATAATGTTGCACATAAAAGGTAGGAACCAAAAATACAACGTGGAAACAAATGAACAACAGAAAGTGAAGACAGTTACACTCCCACCAAATCACCTGTGATTTCCATAACATTTTTAGAAAAACCGATATACATTAATGTAAAACTAACTATTTCGTTTTAGAACTATTAAGTGCAGAGTGTGAGTGAGAGTAACTGAGTCTTAGTCTGCTTCCAACAACAACACCGTCTTGTGAATAGGCCTTTCGAGGTAGACAGGTTTAGCGAGGCGCTTTCCCTTTACATCCAGGGTAGAGTTGCTGATAAGCAGCTTGAGCCTTCTCACTCTTCCATCTCTTCCTGGGTACACTTCCACAACCCTGGCCAGCTTCCATTGGCCATGTGGTATAGTGTTGTCTTGCAGAATGACAACGTCATTTACCTTGACGTTTCTGCGGTCCTTGATCCACTTTGGTCTTTGTTGGAGATGGTACTCCTTATGCTGCTGAAGGCACTTTATTTCTTGAGAGAGTGTTGCTTCTTGAACCATCTCGATTATGGTCAGCTCTGCTTCTCTCCTCTCCTCTAAGCGTGTGGCTTCACAGGACCTTGGCTTGAGACCTTTAATTTCCTTTGCAAGGCGCTTGAGTCTGGCAAAGGTTTTAACCACTCTTGACCAGTCTGAGAATTTGTGAAGGTGATCTAGTAGCGACTTTACTTCGTTTGCCTGGGTATCATGAACCTGGGCCTTCTTAAGCTCTGGGTCACTACTCACGATCTCTCCCACCTTGACTTCTCCACTTGGTAGCTCTTTCTGCCAAAGTAGGTCTGGGCCTGTGAACCAATTTGAGGCTTGAAGTTGCTGTGCTGTGAGACCTTTGGAGGCCTGATCTGCAGGGTTATCTTCAGAAGCTCTTTCGACAAAGTCAGATTCCAGCACCTCGACGACATCTGCAGGTGAGACTTCCTTAATCTGTGTTCTACAGTCGTAGTGTACTTCCCTTGGGAGGTTTGAAGACTGGAGACTTGGTATCACTTGCTTCACGGTTACCTGGTGACTTACTCCAATCATATCTCCAATGTCGAGACAGGGATTGCCAAAGCCGACAACACTACAGCCTAAATCTGTCCTCTGTGCAAAGGGCTGGTTTCCTTCACCAGGCACCACTTCTCTTGGGACGAGAGCTTGGGAACAGTTGTAGCCGATAAGCAGGCCAACATCACAGCTTTGCTGAGGAGCGATCTCATCTGCGAGGTGTTCAAGATGAGGCCATGCTTTCGCAGTCTCTGGTGTGGGAATATGGTCTCTGTTTGCTGGGATGAATTCTCTTGAGTAGGTTACTGGCAGAGGTATTATCCTGTCCGAGTAGATTCCTCTCACTTGGAGACCAGTTAGCTTCCTACATGACACGACTGTGTTTCTTGAAGCCATTGTGGAGAGCTTTAGCTGCACTGTTTCATTCTTTGTGTGAAGAGCCTTTGTCGTTTCTTCAAGGATAAAGCTTGTGTCACTCTGTGTATCGAGGAGTGCATACACAAGTATTTCCCTATGTGGCTCACTTGTGGCTGACACCCACACTGGAACGATTGTGGATGTATGTGGGTCTTTAACATTCTGGAAGACTGTATTGGATGTTGCCTCATGTGGTGTGCTTCCCGCTTTACCTTGTGGACGTTCCATTGTGCTTTCTCTTGCACCATCAATGTTTGTTGACATTCTTTCTTCTCTGGTGCGATTGTCGTGGAGACAAGTTGGATGTCCCTTTTCGCATGTTTTGCACATCTTTCTGTTTTTACATTCCTTTGAGCGATGGCCAGATTTTAAACAGCCAAAGCACAACTTATTTTCTTGAACAAACTTGACTCGCTCAGAGATTGTCTCATCCCTGAATTCGTAACATTTGTGCAGACCGTGTCCCGTCTTCTCACAGAAAAGACAGTTTGTGGCGTCTGCAGTTTCATTTGTCTCTGTAGTCAATACGTTTGATACAGGACTTCTGTTCGTTAAAATCTTGCCTTTTTCGCTTTCTCTTGATTTGAGAGCATGGAGAGATGTTATTGGGTTGCAAGCTATTTTGGCTTCACGTGTGAGAAATTTAACAAACTGGCTGAAGGTTGGGAACGTGTGATTTTGTTCTTCCATTTCTGTGACCTTTCTGTTCCAACTTGAGGTCAACCAGTCTGGAAGTTTAGCAAGCATCTTTTGGTTTTCGTTGCAGTCGTTAAGTACCTCAAGTCCTTTGATCTGTGACATGGCAGCCTCACAGCTGTGAAGGAAGTCAGAGAGCTCTTGAAGTTCTACACTGTCTTTGGAACTTATCTTGGGCCATGCATCAAGCTTATCTCTGAAGGCCTTAGCAATGAGGAAAGGATTACCGTACCTCTCTTCTAGGATTGTCCACGCGGCATGATAGGCTGACTCTGTGCCTAGCAGGAAGTAGCTCTCTATGGCCTTCTTGGCGGGTCCACCCACATACTTTCTTAGATAGTATATATTTTCTTCAGCTGGGATGTTTTTCCTGTCAACGAGTGTACGAAAGGAGACCTTCCAGTCATTGAACCTCAGTGGGTCACCACTGAACGTTGTAGGCTCAGGTACAGGTAGACGACTTGCACTGATGGACTCTGCAAGAGCTCTGACAAGAGCTGAAGTACTGTCTTCTTGTTTTTGTTGTGTCGCAGCTTGAGGTGGTGAGTGGTTTTGCAGTTCACTGCTTTTAAGCTTGAGTTCTTCTTTCACAACCAGAGGAACATGTTGATGGAGCAGCTCGCTAATTTCTTCGTCTGAGCATGCATTCTGTTCATATACTTGATGCCTCGCCTTTGCAGCTTTTAGCTTCTTTACGGTTTCTAATCGCTCTAGTTGTCTGCGCTTGGCTTGTAACTCTCTTTGCCTCTCAGCATTTTCTGCCTCCTGTTTGGCTGTTAACTGAGCAGCTTCAGCCTCCAGTATTTCAAGTTCTTCGATCTGTTGTTCCTGTTCTAGCATTACTTCTAAAGTCGCTTCATTTGCAGCAATTTCAGCAGCGGCTTCTTGTCTTTTGATAGAAGAGAGGAATTAACTTCTTGATGTGGCTCTCGAGTTGCTACGAGAATGAGTCGAGGACCTGGTGACATGAGAGCCATTACTTCTCTTAACAGAGGCAACAGATTTGCATACAGACTCTGTCTGGTTTTTACCAATTTCTTCTTCTTCATGACTTTTGTCCTTTCTTGTGTCCATTTGTTCTCTTGCAGTCTCAATGATTGTCTTTGTAACTGCTTCACAGGTGTCTTCTCTGTGAAGTGTTTCATGGTCGGGAATGTCAATGAGCCTCAACTCTTCATAAGCAATATTTACATCATTGGAGGTCTTCCTTACCTTAGTGATGTATTCATGCAGCAGGTCATTAGAGCATTGACCACTTAGCGCTTGTTTGGCTTCCTTTGTGATATCTTTCCACCTTTTGTAGCTCACACTGTACAAGTCTTGTTACTTGCTCATCGTGCAGTTCTTGGCCCTTTTCCGTTAACTTCCGGACTCTTTGGCTCCTTTGTGGCTCTTGTGTGGAAAGGCTATCCATTTTCGGATCTTCAGTTGCCTGTGGTTGCTCGTTTTCTACTACACTCACTTCATCACTCTTAGTGTAAGACTCAACATCTGACATTTTACTTGTTTACTTAAGTTTGGTTTTAACTCTAATATTTAATTATCTTTAAAGCTAAGTAGTTAGCCAATTTAGATATTAGCTTTGAGTTATCTTAAGCTTATACACAGCTATTGAGCCTTATTTAAATGAAAATCACAAGTGATAATGATATAGGCAAACAACAAAACTTGGTACATTTCTTCAACACTTATCACTTGAAATATATTGTCCCTTAAATGTACTTTGTTACTTAGTCTGCAAATACTTACTGCAGATACCTTAATACACAAATCAATATTAACAACCTTTAACTTCCATTAGAAAGGTAAGTAAATAACATTAACACAGATTATATGAACAATGCAAATGTCCCATTTTCTTTGTATGGCACTTTGAAGTCTCTTTGTTGCACCTACATTTACACTAAAGCACCTGGACCTTCCAGAAGTAGTTGGATCTTGTGCTGCTGTGTAGATGGCTGCTACAGATGCACACGCTGCGACGGAGATGTCCCGTGCCGTCCATGGATCGCTGCCGTCTGGCGCCGTTTTACTAGTCTACTCATGCGGAGCAGTCGAGTTCTCCCTGTAGCTCCCTCCAGTAAATGACACGAGGCTGAGGTCTTGATTAAATACGGGGTTTATTCTTGTGGGACCTATTCCAACCCGTGAGAACTGGGTTATAAGACAGAAAAATATAAAAGGTAAACAACAAATAAATATGTAATATATGCATATGTCATCACTGTTAATGCCGCCAATTAAACAATAAACGGCGCACATATCCCACACAGCAAGTAGCACAAGCTGATTGATTGATTGATTGAAAAGTTTATTAACAGCTTGTATATTGGGTACAGTACAGTACAGCTCAAAACATACAATTGTTAAGGGGATGCAGACCAGAGAAAGACTTTCGTCTTGTTTACATCAGGGTCCCCCATTTCCAATTCATCATGTCATTTAAGACATATAAGACATATTTGACATACAGATGGCTTATTTACAATTTACATACAGGTGGTTTTTTTACATACAGATTGCTTGTTTACAATTTTCATTTTAGATTTCGTTCTAATACATCCTAACCGGACATTTAAGACATACCAAGTCTACAGATATACAGTTAGTAACAGAGTCTAAAATGCGAGTATATACATAGATGGGGGGGGGGGGGGAAGCTGTCCATGGAACGACAGGTTGAGATTTGTACCATTACCGGGGCCAGTTTTGCAATGCTCTCCCCCGAAGGTGCTCTTTAAGAGAGGTTTTGAAGGTAAGTATAGTTTTACTTTCCTTTACAGTTGTGGGAAGAGCGTTCCACCTTGATGTGGCATAATTGCGAAACGTGTATTCCCCCTTTTTTGTGCCAAATCTGGGTTTCACATGATTTGTGGAGCTCCCTCTGGTGTTATGATCATGGTATTCCTTGACCTTTTGGAATAATTTTGACATGTACATGGGTACCATAGAGGTGTAGTGGATCTTGTAGACCAGGCCCATTGCAAGTAGCTGTACTCTGTCGTCTACTCTAAGCCATCCTAGGTTGTCAAAGTGGGCAGAGGTGAGGTGGGTTCTAGATGAAAGGTCAAGCAGTAGTCTGACCAGTTTATTTTGCGATGTTTGAAGTTTTATTTTTAGCGCCTTGGAGGTGCTATGGTACCATGACGTGCAAGCATAGTCATATTACCCTTGAATGAGTGCTCCTGCCAGAGTTTTCAGGGTGTTTTTGTTTACCAGAGAGGAGATCCGGTATAGGAATCTAGTTCTTTGATTGACTTTTTTTATTACATTGGATGCCATTTTGTCACAGGAGAGGTTTGCTTCAAGAATAGATCCTAGGTATGTAATTTCCTTCTTACTTGTGACAATAATGTCGCCCACTGCAACTGAGAAGTCGTCGGATTTGCTGAGATTATGTTTCGAACCGAAGAGAATGGACTCTGTTTTACCCAGGTGTAATGATAATTTATTATCGGCGAGCCAGGTGCAGATTCTGCCGAGCTCGGAGCTGAGGGTTTTTTTCAACCTGCAACCTGTTCCTGTCAGAGACCAGCAGGGCTGAGTCGTCCGCGAACAGGAACAAGTTGCAGTCACATGCTGATGACATGTCATTTACATAAATTAGGAACAGTAACGGACCTAATATGCTTCCTTGTGGAACACCACAGCTCACTGGGAGGGGGGGGGGGACAGAGTACCGTTTACCTCCACCATCTGTTCTCTCCCCTCCAGGTAGGATTGCATCCAGCTCACCGATAGTTTATCAAAACCAATTGCTTTTAGCTTGTCAATCAGAATGGGGTGATTGACAGTGTCGAAAGCCTTTTGTAGGTCCAGCATCACCGTGCCGCAGTACTTGCCCTCGTCCACCTCTTGTTTGATGTGGTCGCTCAAATAAAGAAGGCATGTGTCAGTGGAGTGGGATGTTCTAAAGCCAGATTGAAATTCATAGATTAGTTTCTTTTCCGCGAGATACTTTTCGACCTGTTCATATACTATTTTTTCCATGACTTTCGAGATGGAGGTAAGTATAGAAACAGGGCGGTAGTTGCCTGGGTCCAATTTGCTGCCCTTTTTGTGCAGGGGGGTTACTCTTGCAATTTTGAAGTCTTTGGGTACTTTTCCCTGTTTTATGGAGAGGTTAATTATGTGAGCTATGACTGGTGAGATGGCAGTTGCTGTGTCTCTGAGGAATTTGGAGGGGATATTGTCGTGGCCAGTGGCCTTGTTAACAGCTAACAATAGCTAACAATAGCATGTAGCACAAGCTAGCGCATACACAAACCTGCAGCTCAACCGCACACAATTACACAAACAACCAGCACGAAAACGTACCTCGTAGGCTGCTAGTCACCTAGAAGGGCTGATAACTTTATATGCATTTTCCCTTGGTTTCCTTAGTTTTCCTTTAACGTCCTGCGTTGCTCTGCCGTTGCAATTATCCAGTGCGTCGATTAAACAGGTGTAACACAAAACACAGCAGATTAGTTCCGCCTCTAATAATGTTGCACATAAAAGGTAGGAACCAAAAATACAACGTGGAAACAAATGAACAACAGAAAGTGAAGACAGTTACATAAACTGAAGACAGATTAATGACCTAGAGATATCCTATTATTCCACTGCTTATGTACACATGTTGTAAATAATCTTTAAAACCTCAGTAAATGAAATAAACAATGTGTTTAACAATTAAAATGTAATATTGTATTTTCATCTTATCACAAAGTAGAGGTAGGAATATATCCATCCTCTCTCTGCAGCTTCATGTCTTCTATTATTATAACTTTCATCATTGAGACAGAGGAAATCAATCATGTTATTTAACATCACCAGCAGCAACACAAATATCAGCAAAAGTGTGTTTATGGAGTTGTTTATTTGTATTATATGTGCAGCAAGTATATAGAAGCAGCTGTTTGGGGAATCAGACAGACTCAAGCTATAATCGTTAAATATCTATTAAAAGAAAGGACACATACAAAATCAAATTCTGAAAGTAAGACACAAGTCTGTAGGACGGCAGTAAGCAGAGGTCTGGGTGGAGGATGCTCCTGATCGCCGTTTTGCTTTCTCCAGCACCTCGGGGGTCCAGGTGGATGGCAGCTCTGTCCTGATGATCCGCTGGGGTTAGGGGTCCTTCTCCAGCACCTCGGGGGGTCCAGGTGGATGCAGCTCTGTCCTGATGATCCTCTGGGGTTAGGGGTCCTTCTCCAGCACCTTGGGGGGTCCAGGTGGATGGCAGCTCTGTCCTGATGATCCGCTGGGGTTAGGGGTCCTTCTCCAGCACCTCGGGGGGGTCCAGGTGGATGGCAGCTCTGTCCTGATGATCCGCTGTGCACTTTTCAGATTAGGGGTCCTTCTCCAGCAGATCCATTTCTCCAGAATGTTCCTAATTACAGAGAAAAACAAGAGAAAAAGAAAAAAGTGAATTAATCATATTAAACACAGGGTTGCAAAAGTATTATTGCAAAATGTAACTAAGCATTTCAGACAAACAATCCCTAAGGGATCATTTAAAAATGATGTACTGTTCTGGTTTTTTTTAAACTAAAGAGATGAAATGACAGTCACACCTGCATCCCTTTGACAGCACAAACTAATATCAAGCAAAAGGCTGCTGTCTATTTGTGATTGTCTTATTATTATTATGGGATCAGGATAAATTAAATACACTTTAACCTAAATAAAAGATGATCAAATCTGGTGGAAATATTTAAAATAGGCTTTTCTTTTAGCCCTACCTCAAAGCAGCATGAGCTGAATAAAAAGGTTGTAATTTTGTCCCAAAGTTTAATAAACAGTAAAACATTGGAACATGTCAGAGAAATAAATAAAGCTAACAGCAGACGTCAGGGTAGCATTTTATAAATCCCACCGTACTGTAGGCTATACCGGTCTAAATGTTTTCACTTTGGTCTATGTATGTAGTATAAAGTATAACTTATCTATAACAGAGCCAAGATCCAGTGGCGGCCGGCCCATAGGGGTGCCGCCCCACCTCTTCCCACATACAAAAAAAAATATTTAAAAAAAATACATATTTTATATTTTTATTTTTAATGAACAAGGTAAATATCATACAATTGATATCAGTAAAATGTATAATCTACAATAAAATCTCGTTTAAAATTGTGTTACGATGTTTAAAGTTACTGATAAGTCACATGTTTCCTGCCTGGCCTTGCCCGTGGCATTAGTTTATCATTACCAGGCGCCGTGCAAGGAGCCCCCGAGCCAAACAGCAGCAACCAGCACGTTGCAAAAGTCTCAATAGTAAACTGTGCCGCCGAAACATAATTTCAGCCAATCAGCGCCGTCAAATATTTTGGTCACGAGGGCGCTCACGTTGGCGCCCACGTTGCTTACGTGCGTTGACGTGAGTTGTTTTTTAGACTCGTGAGTGACCAAGGTGTTGGATGAGTTGGATGAGAATGGCTTCGTGTGCAGGTGGAGTCGCCGGACCTCGGTCCCCGCCCAATTCCGTTCAAGAGCTAATCTCCAATCCTTTCAAAAGGAGAAGTTTGGGAGATAAACTGTTGCTTAAAGACCTTGGACCGGACCAACCCGATTTGTATATATCGCAGCAAGCTCGTGAAAAAGACAAAACGTATCAACGAGGCTTCTCACGTAGCTGGTACACCAGAAAGGCATGGCTAGCTGGATGCAAACAGGTAAATGCTGTCTTTTGTTTCCCATGCTTGCTCTTCAAACAGCCGGGGACAGATACGATCTGTTCAGAAACTAGACAAAAGTTAAACAAGTACAAACCACAGACTGTCTGTGTCATGGAGAATACAGTCGCTGGTTTATTTATGTCTGTATAGGCCGTTGTTGTGAGTGTGGACGGTCGGAGCATATATAACGTTAGCTTAGCCAAGCTCCATTCAGAAAACAAGCATTCTAAAAGGTTTTTCGCCTGCCGTCTGTCTTCAGACTTGTCAAAGCATTAATTCATGGTTTTTACTAACCGGTATCAGTATGTTGTTACGTCGGCATCATATAGAAACGTGTATTACAATTTAATCACGGTAAAATTAGTTAATTTTGTTGTAGTTGTAGCTCCCGAGCGCGTTTTGTTTGAATGATGCGAGTAAACACAGCTGGCAGCCGCGGTGAAACTCGAGCGACTAGAGCGATGCGATAGGAGCGTTTAGAGCGAAGCGAATATTCGCATCGCGTCCCGTCTGAACGCAGCATTAAAGCGAGCTCCGCGCTGCACTGGAAACGCGCCATTACATCACCAGAAGTCCTAATTTAAGGGGTAATTTCTCCCAAAAAAAATGTTTTACTCACTATATCAACAGCCCCACCAAAAATATTTTCCACCAGTAGCCACTGCCAAGATCTCTGTATGACTTTAATAAACTTCTGAATTGAATTAAAAGTGTAAACAACAGTGCAGTACGTCCAGCTAGCTAGTTAGCGTCACATATTTATCCGTATTATTTAACTAAAATGTACGTTTTAATGCGCCTTGGGTTTGACGTGTGTGACGTTAGTTAATTTAAAGTAAGTTAAAACCCAATACTCACATTTATTAGTGATTCCTCCGCTCACTGCTGCTTTTAAATCCACTCTGCTGGGGAGACCGGAAGCCATTTCATTTGAAAAAAACTCCGGTTGCGTTCCAATAGTCCATTTAGCTTAGGAACCTTCCTAACGGAGTGAAATGACCCGGAAGTCCCTCAGTGGCAGCCATGATAAGTGCCGTTCCAATTCTCCAAATGAAAGGAAAGGAGGTTTCAAACTTCCTTTATAACCTCCTTTAGCTTAGGTCATAAGCACTTTCACTATCCGACGTGTTTATGATGCGCCAGCGGACGTCATGAATGTGCGTCTGCTGCTGTGGGGAAACTATGGAAACTACAGTTTTCTATACAGCGGACTACAACATGGATGTTTAAAAAGAACGAGGGACTACTGTAAACTCATCTAGAGACTCTGCACCGTGCTCTGATGCTGTTGCTTTATGCTTTATGAACGTGGACAACAGAGAAACATATTCTTCATGACCAAAGTTGGAATTGAAATAAAGAAGGAAAGTGAAACTTCTGCTCGTCACCCTCTCCCTCCGGTCCACATTAATACAAATGATCCCAAAGATCTTAAAATCAATACAGATTTATTTATTATAAACGTTAGTCCTTACCATCTATCACTGTGTATATCACCATTCAAACATCTTTTAAAAGTTGAACAAACCCCACACAGCTCAGTAAAGACTGTGAAATATTGACTTTATTTGATCATTTCAGTAAAAACTAACCTTCATATTTCTCTTTTTGATTATAATACTGATGAACGTTCAGAAAAAAGCACTTTGGCAACTTACCACATACGTTTTAAAATGCTTAATAAGCACCGTAACTTTCATGATATCATTTCTCGGTCATAATCGGTTGTTTCCGTGAACGGCCGACTGTTGAGTGACGGCAAATGCTGCGGCTGCAATGCATTGTGGGGCAGCATTTTCTCCTCTCCTTTCGGTTAGGGAGGTCCAGTGGTTCCTAAGCTAAAGGAGGTTATAAAGGAAGTTTGAAACCTCCTTTCCTTTCATTTGGAGAATTGGAACGGCACTTATCATGGCTGCCAGTGAGGGACTTCCGGGTCATTTCACTTGGTTAGGAAGGTTCCTAAGCTACATGGACTATTGGAACGCAACCAAGGTCCCATGGAGGTCCCCGGAAGGGGAGGGACTTCGCCTCAGGAACAAACGGAAAATCGTGTGTGTGTCCCGTGTTTATTTCGCATTGCATCCTGGTTCTTGTAGTCCGTTTTCTACCTTCCTCTGTTGTTGTCTCTGCAGAGCTGCACTGCTCCGCCACTATGATGTATTCGGGCAGCTCAGTCTTACAACCACCGGAATCTGGAATGGGAGGTTTGTAATTCAACTCAAACACTAAACAATATGCAAACTTGCTATGTGCTGTCCCATTGTGCTCAGCGGCGCTAGCTAACTAAGTTAGCATGCAAGCTAGCTCGCAGCTTGAGTTATGTCCCTAATTTCCTGACGTTTGTCACCGTCACAACTAGATACGAAATTCACGGAATGTTTGAAGAGTTATTTTTCTTTTTCAGGAAACAAGATGATACCGTGTCCGCTACACGGCTGTAAGCGGGTGTACACAGACCCGGCCGCTCTGGAAAGCCACATCAAGGACCATGAGATCGCAGCGCAGTCTCTGCCGGGTGAGGAGGCTCAGGGTGGGCGTGAGGAGACCGCTCTCTGAGTGGGTCATGGGTTACCAACCATAGATTGGTTCTTTTAATTTAAGTCAATAGCATAATAACTTATTGCAGATAAATGACTCCCAAAGTAGTGGTGTAAAATACATTTACTCAAGTACTGTACGATTTTGGGGTACTTTACTTGAGTATTTCTACTTTTTGCTACTGTGTATCAAAAACAGCTGTACTACAATTCTGAGGTAAATGGTGTACTTGTACTTCACTAAATGTATTTAATACCTTCAGTTACTTCACAGATGTGGATGAATGATGTAAAATATAATCAAGTGTTAAATCAGACTTTAGTTCCACCTGGAGTAAATCCACCAGCTACCCTGCAGTTTACAAAGTCATTCAAACTAGCTGCACCTTTACCAGCTTTGAGAACACTTTAATGATCAATCATTAAAAAATATATCATATATATTTTTCTGAAAAGGACCAATCTGTAGAATGAGTACTTCTACTTTTGGTACTTTAAGTATATTTAGATGGCAATACAATACTACATACATGCCAACCTTTCCAAATCCAAAAGAGGTAGGTTTGCGCGTGGCAAATGTGCACGCCCAAATTAGGTAATCAGAAGAAATGGAACCACAGTAATTACATGTATAAACCATGTATTTAACATATATTGCATCATTTTATGCATTTTTCAGAAAAAGTGGTAGTTTGGTAAACAGTGACACCAACGACATGTTTGGTCTGTAAAATGTGCAAAAGTAAAAGAATGGGAGATAAATATCCCAAAGTCTCCACATTTTATTATATTTTTAATGTGTTTCTGGTCCTCTTTCAGTGGAATTTTCTACTGCAACATTCCCCACGCTATTCACAATGTACCCGCAACTGTTACAATGAAGGCTCGATAATCAGTATCACGGCATATAGGTGTCAGCAGGGGTCAAGTGCTATTTTTGTAGGTGGTGTGTGGACCTCACATAGGGGGGACCGGGGGCAAGGTCCCCCGGGAAGATTTTTAAATATTGAAGTTAAAAGCATCAATCTGGTGCACTTTGAGAGCAACATGAAGAGATCTATGGATACCTCTCAACACCCAGATGAAACGGAACTGTAAACAGATTTACTTTTTCTTTATAGATATTTTACAAATCACCCTTTTAAACTTTATTCTTTTTTTACTGTCATATAGTATTTCATACCTGTTTTTAATTTATTCTCTTATGTTTTTATAACTATAATGATCATATAAACGTGTGCCTCGGAAATAATTGTTTACATTAATGGTGACCAAAACGTTTGAGACCCACTGAGATAACGCTGACAGAGTCCTTTAGCTCACTGAGTCTCTCAGTCTGACAGGAGAGGACTCTCCTCCACTTTGTTGTTGAAAAAACTCCTTATATCCGTTAGCGTAGCTCGCTAGCACCAGAAGCTAACATCAACGATCTCCGGTACCGGTGCTCTCTCTCTCACTCGCTCGCGCGCACACAAAATGGCTCGTTCCACACACACACACACACACACACACACACACACACACACACACACACACACACACACACACACACACACACACACACACACACAGAGCCAAGCTTTAATGAAACACAGAGACCCAGACGTAATAGTACTGTACTGTATCATATTATTTTCGAATCAATAATTTTTCTAAATTTTATTTATTTATTTTAATAACCATTTTTTCTCCTGGTCTCTCCCTGTCATGCCTCTGTGCCCCCCACTTTGAGAATCACTGATTTAAACAGTCCTTCGGCGCCACTCGATGACGTAGTATACTTGAAATAGTTGCTCTGCAGCAGTTTTACTTGCGATTGAGAAACGGCTCCTGTAGGTGAAGGATGCTTCAGAAAAAGGCCAACATGTGTTTTCGAGACACTGATATTAACGGGGAAACCCTGCAGGACTCAAATGCCATGGCCGTGTCTCTTTTCTGAGATTCCCCTCCTCGACTCCTATCCTCGACTCCTATCCTCGAGACTTAGTCCCGCCCACAGGAGATGCGAGCCGAGGAGGGGAACCGAGGAGAGAGGAGGGGAAGCAGCGAAGCAGCAGGTGGTTAGAGAAATGAGAACTCCTCTCCTCTGACCGGTAATTTTAAAGAGACGTCCATTAATGATGACAGGAGGCACAGCAGCCTGTCTGATGGACAGATGTGTTCATGACCACTTATATATTTACTTTGATTCATTCACAGTGCGGTGTAATGAGACAATAACAGGCTGCAGATGCGGACATATACACACACATATATTTATATAAATATATACAATTTCAGAATCAAACAAGTATGAGAGCCCCCCCCCCTCTGGTCGCTACAATGAGGAAGATAAATTACGGGCCAAAAGTTTTATTTACAAGTATTAAAAGTATAAGCAGCGGACACCAAACCAACTGAGACCTGTCTGTCCGCTGCATCTACGCACACACTGTACCACACACACGCACCTACAGCTCCTATTATCAGGCTACAGCCGTTGTGCATTTTATTATGTGAAGCACTAAATGGTCTTAGAAAAATATCGACTCTTTGTTTGTAGATATCTACTAAACTAAAGCAAATAAAGAGAGTAGGCCTGTTATACTGAGTGATATATATTATACACACTGCTCTGCTTTCTGCACGGACCTCACAGCTGTTCTCTCTGGAAACATCGCCTCGCGATGAGAGCAGTTAATAAAATAATATCCAGGAGTTCAGGAAATCCAATCCAAGCTTTAATCTGGATCAAAACTTCAAAATGGATTGGGATCAGTTTGATCCCAACAAACTGGATTATCCTGATCCCACCAGTGGGGTGGATTACCAGAGCAAAATGTACTTTTACAATTTATTTTAAAATATATGTTTCAATTTAAATAAGATGGCAAAGTTTGTTGACTGAAATAATACACAATTTTTAGCCTTCATGGGAAATACATTTTATTTTTCCATTTTTGCTCACGTTTATGGTGGCCTATTTTGTTTTCAACCAAATGTTGATGACATAAATGTTTATGCTCATAAAAGTATCACAACAAAGATTGTCAATCACACATGTAATTTAGATTAACGTAAAAATATCTTCAACAAAAAAAAAATCCATCATCTGTCATCACCTTTCAAAAATATAATTAGACATTATAGATGTCTCTGCAATGTGGTCTCTTGTCTTCCTTGTATTATTTTTCATATCCACTAGATGGCGATCGGTAGGATTAAAGCAGAGATGGAGTATTCGAGTCCTGGACTCGGACTCGAGTACTGATTTTCAGGACTCGTGACTCAATTCGGACTCACGCACTGATTGACGCAACTCGGACTTGGACTCGTGAATTATCGCGTACGCTGACTTGGACTCGGACTTGGACTCGTGAATTTCCCCCCCCACGATGACTGTACATTGACGCTCCGACTTGGACTCGGACTCGAGCAAATTTTCTCTGGAGTCTGATGACCTCTATCCTGGCGTGTGCACCTGCGAGGCGAGTTCACATACTGTGCCCCGCTATTCCAGTCTAGAGATGTCTAGAGACACACCCCGCATCATGCTGTATGCTTTCACACATTCTGCTTCCACATTGGAAAAGAGCAGCGCAAAATGCTCGTTATGTGGAAACAATATTGAAGAGAAGGCTCCGTAACACATGACTCTAAGGATCGAGTTCAGACATATAGGACTTGTACAGGTAAAAGTTCCTTCAAAATAAGAGTCCCGATCTTATTACTATCAAAATAAAAGTGCAAAACGAAAACTTTACCATAAAAAAATATTGGCATACAAATATAATCACTTCTCTAAAAGGTAACTCGTTTTAAATATAGTTTATTTATATATATTAATATTAGTAATAAGCTTTATATTTGTAGCACCTTTTACAAGAATTGTAGCCAAACTCGCTTCACAGCAGTTCAATAGACAGATTAGTATAACATGACAGGATAAAAGCAATGTAGAGAAGCAGCTACATTTCAACTAGGGATGCTCCGATCGCCAATTTCGGGGGCCGATCGCCGGAATCAGTATCGGCCGATACCGATCGCCGATCCGATCGAGTGGGCGGGGCCTAAATGGAAGATTTAAACATCACTTTAAATCTTCCATTTAAAGTGATGTTTAAAACTCAGTTAATGGGGCTCATTCACTGGAGCTTCCACAAACAACAATCAACTTAATTATTACATTCAAATGATGTACATTATTCAAGTTTACATTCACTTTGGATAATAACACGGGAGAAATTAGCGGAAGCGCTCACTTTTCCTCTCTCCCTCCTGACAGCCTGTCAGTATCTCAGCTCACTGATCCAGTAATGAGTGACCCGACAGTGAATAATAAATATATTTATAATAACTAGTTTAACTTGTTCCAGAGGTAGATAAAATAGCTAAGTGTGTTAGGTCTAACTCTTGTGTGTTTCGCTCCGGCGGGCGGAGCTGCAGGATTTCTGCTTCACAGTCACACACACGTTGCATACCGCTATTTTACTGCACGTCCTGCATTACAAATGCAGGACGTTTACTTGTAACAGAGTATTCCTACACACTGGTACTTATAATTTTACTTAAGTACAATATCTGGGTACTTCTCCAACCTCTGTCTAAAGGAGAAGGGTTAGGGTTAGGTTTGTTTTTAACATTTTAGTAGTTGTATGTAACTTGACCACGAGCTATCTTATCTATTAGCACATTCATTACACTAGTGCTCCATGTTAATTAATACATTTGACACACCTGACAGAATAAGTCACATCCCATTAAGGACTTCATTCCAGGGTAATTCACCCTGGGGGCACCTGTAATCCCAGAGAGCAAGATGAATGCTACATGTCATTCAGATTAGAAGTAGTAGTAGCAGTAGTGGCACGACCTCCTGTAAAGGGCATATTGTATGCAGATACTTTAGATTTAAAAACAAAGGCCACATGTTTTTTCTAAAATCCTACTTATGAGAACATATCATATCATGTCAATGTGTGGTTAGAAAAAACATAATAAAGATAACACTACCTTAAACAAGTAGTTATATTGGTTCAAACAAGATGGTACAACCATTCCGGCTTTACTTTTTAGTTTTATTGAGTTTTTGGTTGGAGATGAGAATGGAAGGTCTGCATAGTGAGAGAACCTACATCATGTTCTCACTGTGTCCTCCCCTCAGGAAAGGTGATGCTGTGCTCCACGGTGGGGTGCAGTGGTTCCTTCCCCAACATGCAGAAGCTGATTGAACACATGAGGCATCACCACAAACCCAACATATTCTTTGTGTGAGTCTGACTGGCCATGCTCTCTCAGCTGACATACTGTGCATTAGTAGAAATGTTTCATCATGTGTATTCAGAAGGAAAACATAGGGAGGGGAGGATACAGGATTTTATCGCAAATCACAATAAAAAATACTTAAGTTGATCGTGGAGAAATTCCATTATCAGGATTATCGTAAACATCCTTGCAAGTGACTTGATAATCATGGTAATAAAGGGTAAAATAGAGCATAATTAAAAAATACTGGAATAATAAGAAAGAACAAACTGAAATAATTCCCTTGATTTGAATAATTTATTTATGATTAATGGTTACCCTATTTAAGTTATTGTTAACTAAAACGGATAGATAAATACTTTATTGATCCCAATTTGGGAAATTATTTAAGACGTTAACTAACAAAGGTGTTTTCTATCTGTGATGCAATACAAATACTTGTTTCTTAAATAAATCAAACATAGTAAGTAATTCCAGTAGGATTTATAGCCGTTTCACAAGCTTGGGCATATGTTTGAAGATTCTCAAGATAACGTAGTGAATTGAGATTATTTTGTGGAGGATAATCATGACCTGATACCTTACCTCTGTCCCACCCAACGCCTGAATGTGTTGCATTGTGTGTCAGCTGCTAACATCTTCTTTCTGTGAAGGTGTGAGAGTTGTCGCACAAAGTTGCGTTCCTACCGCGGCCTCCTGACCCACCTGCACACCTGCTCCAAAGTGATGCGGGGGAAAGCCAAGCCCACTGAGCCAAACATGGCCCCAATGGAGGTGGACGCAGCATCTGCCCCCTCTCAGATCCTGAACCCAGACCCCTCCTACCCAGCTGCGGTGAAGCCGGGGCCCGATGGCCCCCCTCTCCTCGGCCCCCCCTTCATGTCTAACCTGGAGTACGCCCCCCCCCACCCTGCTCCTCCAAAGCTCACAGAGGCGGCTCCACAGCCCCCCATCAGGAGTAACGCCTCTGATCTGACTCCGTCCTTACACTTTGGGGCCCCACCATTGACTCCCACCCAGGGGCAGCACCCGACACAGACCAGGTCCCCTGAGGACGTCCACCCCGCTCCAGCATCAGCTCCAGGATCAGCTCCTCGCTCTCCTCCTGGGCCCTCGGCTGTGTGGAGGAAGAATCAAGGTGAGCATAACCTGGCAGATGTGGCTCCACCTTAACTTTCAAACCGCCTTAAAGTGCACCATGTTAACATCATTGAAGGCCAGTTCATACTTTCTGAGTGTGTGTGTCTGCCAGGTTCCACTGTGGTCCTCATCACTCAAATGATTTATCCAAATTGTTATGTATGCCCCAAAGCTGTATACATTTGGGGCATACAATGCAGGATGAGGCCCAAATGTATTTAGTATAGTATTGTAAAGAATCTGGAGTTTCGTTACCTTGCAGACTGAACACTTGACAAATGTTGTCCTACCTGTAGCCACGAGTAAGAAAATAATATGTATTGTTTTAAAGGGAGGTTGTGTAAGAAGTCTTCTGTGGAACACAAAGGCAGCCATGTGGCGTTATACTCCTGGCACAGGGAGACATTCAGTTGTAAATGGAACAGCATGCACATCTTTGGAGAGTACGTGTGAGATCAAAAGCTGCAGACTCACTCAGGCTGACATCAACTTCCTCTGTACAGACAGCAGTGCAGAAGAAATACGATTTTTTTGTATTTTTCATTTTGTCAAGACATTAATTTGTCGTTCCTTTTGTCAGGGTCCTGCAACAGCCGCATCCTGTGGGAGCACACCAAAGGGCGCTACACGTGTGTGCAGTGTGGCCACATGGTGATCAGCCGTAAAGAGATGACTCAGCACATCTCCACTAAACACAGCAGGAACAAAGCTGCAGAAGACACAGGGAGCGCTGCCACCAACACGTAGAGGAGGCAACATGTCTCTTGTTCTCCTCAGGAACTAAAGTACATTACCCTTTTTATTCTGCGTTGAAAGCCTGCAGCAGTGATTCATGAACTGAGTATATATTTCATTGATTGCCATAAAGCACTTTTATTGCCTTTTTGCTTCCAGGAAACCATACAACTTTTCACCACATGTCCTCCTTGTCCTCCTGCTCATCTTTGAAGACTTTTCAGCTAAATACAGTTCATTACTAATCTCCCTATTGTAAGAGAATATTTTAATCTGATCTGTTTATAGAATCTCTTATTGTTCCTTAGAGTCTGTGATACTGCAAACATCTGCTTGTAGTCACTCAAAGACTCCTCTGTGGGTTGAGGTCACAGGTCAAACGCTTCTCCTATATCCATGGGGGGTTTGAGACCTGGCAGGATCTCTTTGAGACAAGCAGACCATTGTCTCGCATCGGCTATTGATTATACGCGGGCTTTCTGGAAGCCCGCCTCTCCTCGTGTTAGTTAGATGTTTTGTGTCTTTTGGTTCAGAGATCGCTGGTGGAGCACTGGACATGTGTGAAACTAAGATGATCTCCCGGCCGTTATTGTCTGTACTTTCTCCAATAAAACTCTTCAGTGCTTTTGGCTAACAACGGTTCCAGACTCCTTCATTCTACCTCAACATTGCAACAACAGAAGTTTACCTTCACACCTATTGTTGAAAAATAAAGAGCTTTTTGAACATTAAGCATGGAGACATTTCACCGTAGAGGCACCAAATACTAATATGAACCAGAAAAGGAGCAGAATATGGCCCCTTTAATAATTTGACTTCAGTCATTGATGTTTGCAGGAGGCCATTCTCGAGACAGATGGAGACTATTTACGAACCTTAAGTTGTCGTTTTTTGAAACTTCAATTGATATTGTATCAACATTATTATTTGTTTATGAAAACGTTCTAGCCCTTGATTTTTTTTGTACCCCTTAATTTCCCTAACTTTATTAGGACCTGTGATAGATGTGTGTGTACTGGATGATTCATGTGTTTCCCAGTGATTGTCCATGAAATACCTAATAAGAAAAGACAGGGTAAAAAAAAAAAGCAGTTTTTATTGGGGTCAGAATGAGTTGATACAAGCACTCAGGCTCCCTCCATGCCTCTGTACATCCAAAACATGCTCCTGAACATCCAGCCCCTCCCCTGTATACTAGCATCACGCCGCCAAGCAGCCCTATGACCATGAACACATCGAGACAAACCACATGACAAGGGTCCCACTCATCACCAACATGTCAATAATTACGTTACCACATGCAGACTGTAGTGCTGTTTTCAACAAACAAGTCCCATCACATAGATGAAGGGGGGAGGGGGGGCATTTACATTAATCTATACTTAAAAAAACATGGGAAAGGGGGGCTCTTACACATTGGTCTGTTAACACTATTCAGACACATGAGCCATGCCATGTGGGTTTTCAAAACAAAATGAATGCTCCATTATTTTACAGCCCTGCAGTTTCAATCTATTTATTTATGTTACCAAACAAAGCCTGCTGGAAATTAAAGTGTTTTTATTTCACATGATGGCCGGTTGTCAAGAAAATAACCCTCATGGTAAACAAGTGCATACAAAAAAAGATTAAGTGCCGACTGTCCAACCCCCAGATCAGGCAATGATGATTTGTTTTTAGCTTTATTATCACAACTATGTTCAGCTCAGTTTCTTGAGGCTTTTTAAAAAAATCTCTGCTGGTCCACTGCGTACATCTTTCCTGCCGGGAGCTTCCGGAAAAATAAACTGTTGCCTCTGCTCATGTTGCCCTGGAAACAAGAGAAGATAAGTGCTTAGAAGTGTCTGGTGTGTACAATGGTGAAAACGGTTTGATCTTTTCAAGGAAACATTTAGTAACGAGAAGGTCATAAGTGATGTCATCCTGCAGCTACATGAACTCATATTAGAACCAATATCACAAAAACAGCTAATGACGAAATGACTTTATGAGCATTATTAGTCCAGACTTCAGCTGGACCTGATGATATGATTATGGGAAAGAATTAATAATAGTCTTGCGACTCTAATCTAGGTTTTATAGCATCAAAATATACTGAAAATACCAAAAATATCCACTAATGTTGCAGCTGGTAAAAAGGTGGAGCTTTTTTTGATGCTGGATGGTTTAACATAAAATAATTGCCTCATTACTGATTATATTTTCTCTTTACAAATTGTATTCATCTAAAACCGTCAAAAGTATCAAAATCTTTCAAACGAATGCAGTAAAAAATTAATGATTTGTTATGAGATGTAGTGAAGAAGTATAACGAAGCAGACAATACCTAAAATTGCACTGTAGTAAAGTACTTAAACTAAATATACTTGTTACTGTCCAACATTTGTTATGAATAATGACAACCAGGTAGAAAATGGGACATGTTTCATGAGAATATAATTACTGAAACATTTAACGAGATGACAAAAAAATGTTTACAGAAAAATTGTAAACATGTTTTCACTGACTGACAAATCCCAGCACTCATGTTAGCATAATTATACATATTACAAACTTCTTTTTTTTTTATTCTGGCTTGAAATATATAAATTCAAGCACTCATCTCTATTAGATGGAGCTAGTACAAGTAACAAGTACAGTACTTGAGTACATTTACTTAACTGTCCACCACCGTTCATGATTAAAAAAAACAACCAGGTAGAAACAGGACAAAAAAGCAGCGCCTTGTAATGTAATAGCGATATATAATTACTTAAAAAGTAAAAAATGTAAAACACGTTTTCACTCTCTGATGAATCCCAGGATTTGTGTGCATTATATTGAGTTGAATAATATATAGTAAATATGATGTGTGTACCTCTCTGCTGAGATGCCTCCAGCAGTCCACCCAGGTGGGGTATACTGAGGCGTAGGGGGGCAGACCTCCAGCCAGCCTGTGGAAACACAGTTCATTAAAGTCTGTAGGATCAAACTCTCCTGAGGATTTAAAGCAGAGGATAACCGGAGCACTCACCCGCAGTTATTAACAGCCATGAGGTTTGACACCAGGACAAAAGGGTATGTGAGCATACTGGCGAAGAACTGGAAGAGAAGAGCAGAGCAGCATGAAGAAACTACACACTGCAGGCTGACAGGCGGCCATGGTGGTTAAACTCACCCCCGTCACTGCCTGGGAGCAGTTCTTGATTTCTCCTGTGTGACTCATCTGTAAAGAGGAACACATCAGCAGTTAGTTATCTGTGAGCCCGAGTGGAGACAATTTACGCCAGCTTCAGGCAAACAAAACTGAGCCTGATAAGTTGTTGCAGGCGACTAAATTAAATGGACCGTTATTTGGATAATTATTTCAGTAGGATTGAGAATTGTTGAAACATTGCGATGGTGAGAGTACACACCATAACAGTAGTCAATCTCCATTACAGGGTAAATCCTGCCTGATAGGTACCCCCCCCCTTTACAGAACACAGAAGCAATGACTGAGTCCTGAGTGTGAGAGAAAGCGTACCGAGTCGTCGATGGCATACGTGTTGATGGCGTGGGCTAGCAGGTTACAGATCCACAGAGACAGGACGTCACAGAGCAGGCGGGGTATCAAACCACTGGAGGAACACAGCAGGATAAGATTCAAGGTTCAAAGGTTTTATTGTCATACCGTTACAGTACAGCTACAGTGCAATGAACAATGGCAATGAAAATCTTATGACCGAGCTCCTCCAACAATGCAAAAAAATACAAAATAGTGCAATAAGTCTATATACATGTAATAGAATATGATATATACAAGAACAGAATGTGAACTGTTTATTGCGGTGATAACTGCTTCGATAAATAAGTAGATTGCAAGATGACAAACAGATGAATGTTTATGGAGGCACTTTACAGAAATCAGGTGTTTAGCAGTCTTATGGCCTGTGGGGTAAAACTGCCCATAGGCCATAAGACTGCTAAACAGCTGAGCTCTGTTGAGTGCCTCGATATTACTCATTAACACATCAGCAATATAAGGAACAATAAGCATCATGCTGGATATAACATTATACTACTGAGAGAGAAGAAATAAAAAATACAAGTCTTCCTTTCTCCAGGCTGTGTAACTATGTGGGACTGGACTGTAGATAAACGTCCTGTTTGTAATGTTTTAATGATGATTACGCGTATTCATTTCACTGTCCATTCTACAGCTGATATTACATAGTTTATAATTTTTTGGGATTGATCAACATATTTTCACACCCCACTTAAAGCTCAAAGTTTCTGTCCCTTTCTCGCTAAGAGTTGCTACGCTTGGACACCTTGCTAGAAATGTTCATGCTTTCGCAGAAAGTCTATGACCAGAGGAGTATAAGGAGAAAAAGAAAGACAAGGAGTGTGAGACTTACGCAAAGAACCCTAGCATGCCTTCTTCTCTGTAGATTGTGACGATGGAGTCAAACACCCCACTGAGGATAGAAGATATATTTATTTGTTTAAGTATTTAATAAATGTTAAGGTCATTTCCTTGAGGTGTGTGTCTATCATGAAAACATTACCTGTATTTTGTTTCCCTCCCAATAAACTGGACCATACATCGCAAAGTAATCACTGAAAAACAATTGGAGGGAAGCAGAGTTGACATAATGTCTCACCGCACACAAATCAAACAAACGTATGCTGTATCACAAGCCATAAAGACGTCCTCTTACCATGAAAGGGATGTGTGACTATGGTGGCGCAGGACCGAGCCACCATCTCTTTGGTTGTCTGAGGAAAATAAGAAAAAATAATGAACTCATATAATCACATAAAACATTTAAGTAAACCTTATCAGAATATTGTTAATAGGTGCTTTCACTACTACTACTACTTTTCCCACAAAGGTTCATCAGAACTTAGTTCATGAGAACTCTTTAGTTCTCATGAATAAGTACAGATCGCGTTCACACCGGAATAAGTCCCTGGGGAAGGATTAGGCAAATTAAGCCGCTGACGTCACTTCTTCTGCTGCTTTGGGTTTACTGGCAGGCCGCAAACAACTTCACGGCGTATACTGCCACCCGAAGTCCCCGGAGTTGGGGACTGGCTTCAGTAGAAGCTGCTGGGACTAGTGTTAATTTCGTTGACTAAAACTATGACGAAATATGTTCGTCAACAACCTTTTTTTCCATGACGAAAACGAGACGATGACAAGACAGCACCGTAAACAATAACGAAATCATCATGCAATATCGTTGACGAAAAGTGACGAGACGAAAATGTAGTTTACTAAATAAAAACTATGCCAAAATCTCTCTTTACTTTCATTGACGAAAAATGAGGAGACGAAATATCATCAAAGATAACGTTACATCTCTGATAGTCAGTTTTTCTCCCAGCAGTTCCATTTCCGGTGCTGCTGTGTGTCTGTGGTGCGCGCGGCGGTACATTTGAATTACACCGGGCAGCGGCACACTGTGAACTGTCAGGAAGACTCGGGTCTAACTAACTTTATTTAACAGAAAATAAAATGGCAACAACAGGGCTTGAGTGCAGTGGTCGCACTCGCGTTAACCGAATACCCCCCCGTCAGCGCGAGTGATTGATAAATTGTG